ACATCAATCCTGTCAGGTTGAGCCACTTATGTCCACACCCAGAGCAGGTCGCTTTGGAACACCACAAGATCCCATATTACCACCGAAAGCGGTCACCAATTGGTCTACTGATGAGCATCTTCAGAACATTCTCGACCGAAAAGCTATCAGTCCTGTCTGTGTTTTGGTTCGCTTCATTTGGGCTATGCGCACGTTTTTCTACTCCGGTTCTAGGGACGAGATGGCAGTCATCACGCGCTGCACCAGCTCGTTCTTTGACAGGTTGGTGACGCTGTCGTCATCCGGCAGGATAAACACGTGGCGCATTTCACCCTCGGCCCCGCCAGCCACATACACACTTCCTTACGTCATATTGTTTCTCGCCACGAGATCAAAGTTCAAAAGGTCGTGATGTAGGTAGTCTCCGCCCAGCCCGTCAGGTACTCCACCGGTTGGTCGGGTGCGGCCAGGTCCGCGCAACGCCGCCCTACTTCGGTCGACGCTCTGGTTGACAGGGATGGCGTTGTCGTACAGCTGCCTGTCGACTGAACAGCGATTCAAGACGCCACCCTTGACCCTCTGAAGCCGATCCCCGCAACGACCAGTGTTTGAACCTTGGTTGACCTGCAGCAAACAACAGAACACAATAATTAGGACATTTGTGAACAATAAATTAGGAAACTATATGTGTTATTATTCTACTTGTTCAGCAACTATTAATTTTAGAATATATTCAATAAAAAATTAAATACTTAATGTCACTTAAATTTCCACTGAATGCCACCAGGTGCACCAACAACTGTCATCTCATGCAGTTATATAAATTCTGCCAAAAAAGTAGATTTGAGGCCAGTTGTACCAACAGAAAAATAGGTGGCAGCTGGACTTTTTTTTGACTAAAAGTTACTTCACATACAGAGCATGAACGGTACAGCCCTATCCGTTTACGTGCCCATCATGTTAACGCTCCATATGTGAAGCAGTCTTTAGGCAAAAAAATCCAGCAGGCAGCTATTTGTGTTGATAAAACTGGCCTCTAAAATTAACATTGGCATGGACAATCCTGAACATTAACTATCCAGCATTCCCTGGACTGACGTACATTAGACACATAATTTTCTGGAAGATCACGCATAATGTAAATATGGCTTACACCATTCAGCAACTTGCTTTTGTTACACTTAAAATAAGCATCATTAAATATGTAGCAAAAATGGGCGAAGCAATTACAAGCCAAGCTTACATACCTACTATTTAGATAAGGCAAACACGAACATGCACTGCGACTTTTCAATCTTAACTTGGAACAAGTCAATAGCCTAGTTGCCCTTAAAAATTTAAATGCTACAAATAAAAGTTGTAGCAACAATTGGGTGAGTGAGACACAAGCAGAGGCTAAAACATCCAAATAATGTAAAATACAGGACATGCACTGCCCCAATTTCATGAGTCCACCCAACAATTCTATAATGTGAGACAAAACATTAGGCTTCTTGTAACTAATTTATACCGTAAATTTTAGAGGACATCATATTTCACTGAAATACTACACCTAAGACATCATTTTCAAAAAATATATAGCTTAAAAAAACAATAGAAGAGTGAGAAGGCGTCCCGCGCCGCTGACGTCGCTACCGCGCCATGTTCCTAAAACCATCTCTTAAAATGAGTTTTCGGTAAGAAACGTTAAGATCACATGCCTGAAATTGAAAAACACACTTCAAAGTGTCTTAAAATATGATCCATTGTTACTTACACTTCAGAAAAGGTCGCTTAAACAAAATAAAACCGGGAGCACTACGTTGCATCCGGACACCCACGACGCCGGCGCGAAATGGCGGGAACCGGAAATCGTGGCTAGATGCAAAGAAAAAGAATATTTCTTATAAATGAATTATACCACTAAATAACGCATTTTTTATTTTCTTTTAGACAAAATTATGAAAAAATTACAAAGGCTCGTCGTTAATGATAAACAGAGCAAATTTTAACAGCACGTTTTTGTTGAATTATGGCGGCGGAATCTTTATGCCATTCGTAAAGGTACGCGCGACAAACGGCTGATAGCCATGCAGCGAAAAATTGAAGCGGGGAAGTTTTTTGTATTGACTTGTCAAAAAATCTCGCCGTCATGGGGGTTATTTCCGCCGTAACGGGTCGTCTGAAGGTGGGAGTGTCCCAAATTGAATCAAAATATTGATTCTATGCCCATATATGGTCAAAGCTCCGCCCACCAGAATCAATATTTTGATGCCTCCATATTTTGATTCCCGCCGCCTAGTTTGCCCAACTGATGTGTTGAATATGAGGAGAAGGTAGTAATGACCAGTAATGACCATTCTGCCTATCAAACTGCCAGAAGGTGTGCTTGTAAGGTGATTGAAACTGCAGTACGGGTTGCAGATGTGGGTTTGACATTAGCATTGTTGTTGTAACCCCACTTGCTCTAATAAAATGGCAACATGGGGTTATGTACCCACTATTGCACAGCCTGGTATCAAGCTGGTTGATATGCGGAGGATAATGAAAGCATAAAACTTTTCTTTAGTGAATAGGAGCGTTGTGTCTTGTGACTTATGTCAAGTCATTTTAAATGAAATGATTGTGATTGTAACTTTTACTTCAATTATTATTATTGCTAGTTTTGACCTTTTTAATCATCAAGTTTTATGTGTACCAATTTCATATGCCTGTGTAATGTCTGTGCGGCTTTGTGCAGTGAGCGTGTCTTGAAACAAACCAATTTATTTTGTACCTGTTTTACTTCAACAAATGTATGTCAAAGGACAAATATGTCATGTCTATTATCATTGACACTACTACAGCTAACTTTGCCTACATTCCTATCTTTCAGAGGCATTCATCTGCTTTCCAGTGCAGTACCTAGGAGGCTGCAACTGAAACTCGCACAAAGGCAACCAAGTGTCACTTCATCAGCCTACAGTAACAGCCCATCTGTAATCAAGATATGGGTGAAGTGGCATAGAAGAACAACCAGTAAACATGAAAAGATGTATTTTGTTTTGAACTATTTCTTAGCATAACTGAACAGCAAAGTGCACACTTACTGCTTTTTATGTTTGCCCTGTGTGCACTGTGCAGTTTTGAATTATTTTAACTATGAAATGCTTTTGCTAACTACTCTCTTTACATAAGCTTCCTTTGTCATGCCTGTGTAATTTTGAGTTTACATGCATGATGTAAGCATGTTAGCATGTATTTCCCATGGCTTCATAAAACTACTTCCAAGCATTTGTTATGGACATTGGTGCTACCTATATATGATGCTTCAGATGTGTCCAGTAGTTGATGAAGGGAGAAGAGTAGTAGGACAGCTGATAGGCTGATAGCTATTACCAAAAATATGTGCTTGTCTGCACTTCGGGCTGTTCCATCATATGCAACCTCTATTTACTTCCTTGCGTTAGAAACACCCCATCTTTTGTTTCTTTCCTGTGCGCCCATTGTTTCCGTGGTGCTATAAACGTCAAGTTTGAAGTTGGTATCCACTATCCAAGTGAGCAAAATTTGCATTATTTCAGGCCGTCTTGAATCATTCGTCTTGAATTATATCCCTAACTGACATCCTGTTATTTGTCCTGCAATGTATGTGCCTGTGTCCGGCGTCCGCCCTTACCTCCGGCTCCAGCCTCCAACCAGGCCTGCTGAGCTCTGTCGCCGGCGCGGTGTGTCGCAACGTGCTGTTTCTCCACTCCACCCGACAGCTGCTAGGAATCATCCTGTGCCATGCGCCATGCGACACAGCAATTGTGCAGGTCACATTCGGAATGATTGGCTCCGCGTATGTGCATCCGGCCGGGTGCTAGTCGATATCAGGGACGTGGGTCGGACTTGTGGCGGCGTGCACTGTGTTGGTTGAAGTTGTTGTATTTCTGTTAGTGAAAAGCATTAATACATAACCGTGGCCGCAGCCCAATGTTATTGTGGATTTCAGAGGGAGTGGCCAGTCAGGAGGGCCCCATGTGGGTATAGATCCAGTGTCCAGTGGGATTGGCTAAGATTTCCGGCGATTGATAAACGCTTCTATGATAGTAAACCTATTGAGTTATGAGGGGAGGTCACGTGAGGGACCTGACCTTACTAAACTCTTGTGAAAACACGGCACATACGAACGGTAAGAAACAGACAGCTCTTCTTTCTGCCAAGTGTCATCTTTCTGTGAAGGATTTCTTGGCACTGAGTGTCCAGAAATTGCGTTGCTTTTGGACTGTGTAGAGGCTCACGAGCGATAACATAGGTCAACAACCTGACGTACCTTAAATATGCGACTTGTACCAGAAGATCCAGCTTGATCAAAGATTGTACATGTCAAATTTCAGCTCTTTAGCTCAAAAGAATTTTGAGTTATCGTAAAAACCGTCAGTGTGGCACCGTATCGCCTCCCCGCGCGGTCGGAAGGTAAAAGTTCGCCGGCTTTAACTAAACAAATAGTCGTCGTATCGCAAATTCATTGACGGCGTTCGAAGCGTCGTTCAATTTACTTTCGAAACATATCCTAACATTAACATTTATCTGCCTAGCGCAATCTCCAACAAGCAAAAGTTCCGTGCATGCGTCCTCATACAGTGTTAGCGGCCGCCGGCCGCCGGCCGCTGACCCACATTCGCGTCATCAGGGAATGCCGCAACTAATTTATTGTTTCCAACTTTTTTCCCGGAGCGTTCTACCTGGTTTATATAGCCTTGGGTCCGCTACACGTCAGCTATGCGTTGTTTGTAAATGTTTGCAGTCTTTATTGTTATCTTTTGACAAATTATATGACGTCATTGAATCTAGTTTTTTTTTAAACAAAGCAAAGCTGTTTTTTATACTAATATGTATGATTTACTTTCAAGAACTTCTAAACCGCTCGAAAAAGGCTCAAGTTGCAATATTTCTGCCATTTAAATGCACCTGATTTGCATGTAAAGGTACAATCGCGGTATGCATCACCATCTGAGCTGTAGACGTCACGTTCTAGTTTTGTGATTTCTTGTAAGAGAGTCAATATTTACAGAGCTATACGCTATGCGTTGTCACGTGATCTAAACTTTAATGATTAAAATATTGCTGCAGATTTTTTTGAAACTTCTTATATTTTCCTGTAAAAATTCATTTAATCATATCAATTTGCTTGTTTGTAATATAAATAGCCAAATCTTTGAGGAAAAAATGTGACTAATTGATGCACCCACGTGATTATTGCGAGACATTAATTACCTCGAGGCTGATCTGAGGCGAATCCTCCGCGCTGTATTTGACGCGGTGGCCAAAACACGTGAAAGTATTTGATTGAAAGTATTTTGAAATTTGAATTAAGTGTTTTTAAAGGAAGATGAGAGAAGATGGGCCAGCTATTTGTGATGGGAAGAACTACATCATCATCAAAGGATCCTTTATGAAGCTTGCGAAGTTGAAGACCCAAAAGTATGATTGTGCCCTGTGTATATTTCATATACGTTTGTAAAATATTTGGTGCTAATGTGACATGTGAAACGCAATTAGTGTGAAATTAGGGTATTAGCGAGAACAAAAGGTACTAGCACTCGATACTCGATCATGTATTACGATAGGTTAAATGGCGACACACATTTCCAGTTCATGGCTCACACACTGCAATACTCAAACATGGCTGGTCTTAAAACGGAACTGGCGTGTCTTTCGATATGGGTTCCTTTCTTTTCCTTGCCACTCCTTCCTGTGACTGTTTACTTGGTGAAGGGAACCAACCAGGTAAGTAAACCAGGTAAGTGAATGATACCTAACCTACGTACCTACTTTTTTGTAATCCTAATCCGATTCCTTGTAAAACTTTCATTTTTCTCAGTTTTCTCCAAAGCTGTATCCAAATGCTTTGCACCACTCTTCTATCTCCCTCCCATTATAGCCCGGAGGCCCTATGGCGCTGCCCTGATGCCTGAAGCCAGACTGGAAAGCATGCATATACTACCTACGCTAGATGCCAGCTGTGGGCCCGCGAGACCCTCTTGCGCTACAATTTGGTGCAAGTGATTTTGCGCTGAAATTTCTGCATGATTTGCTCCGAAAATTGGGTGCCTATTTGTGCCAAAATTAAGCCACTTTTATATAAAACATGTGTGCACCTCTACCAATCAAGGCAATTTCAACCAGACAGAGCATTCCATGGCCTTCTCTGGCTCTCCCACGCTTGAGCTGCTGAATAAGTTTTTTTTTGTATTTCTACAGAAACCTAATGCCTCAATATGCTTGGCACACCGTAGCGTTGTGCCGTGAAAAAAGCCGTAGCCGGCAGTTCCAGGCAGGGCTGTGGAGTTGGAGTGGACAGTTGTGACCGGAGTAGGACTTAAGAGTCTATTTTAGAAACCCGAGCAGGAGTCGGAATCACCGAAAATCTGTCGACTCCGCAGCCCTGCTAGGTCTGCGGATTTGGAGTCGGTCGGAGTCGCAATTCTGCCCAGAGTCGGAGTCGGAGTCGGAGCTGGTTTTTGAAAGTCGGAGTCGGAGTCGCCGAAAATCCATCGATTCCGCAGCCCTGGTTCCAGGGCCACAGAAATAAGCAGAGCAGTGTGCTTGAGGCTGGCGGGGGGTAGCGTAGTAGCATGTGCTCCGGCACATCAGCCCCTGCTCAGCACACAGCGCGGGGCACTGCTTGTCTGAGCACTGGTGGCACGCCGCAGTTTAGACTTAGAGACAACCGATTTGGTGCACATACTGGAGCGAGCGGCCCCAGTGGCCCGCCCTCATCTGGTGCACCGAAACGGCGTCCTCTCGGTCCTCTCCGGGGATACAGAGCGGCGGCGTGCTCCCGAGGAGTGGCTTGAATAGTGACTCGGACCAGTTGTGCCATTGATGCGAGGCCGCACAGTGATGAATGAACCGCCCTGGTCAGCGAGCAGGCATTTGACATTTGCGGGCAGGGCGGCCGGTTGTTCCGCCAAGTTGTCCGCGCTCTCATTCCCCTCGATACCGCAGTCGGCAGGAACCCACTGCAGTAGTACTTAACGATGCTCGGCGATGTTCAACAAGGTCTCATGCAATAGGTAGGTACCCCGAGTTTTAAACTTTTAGGAGTTGAACTGTGGTAATGACTAGATATTGCGATCCCGGAACGTTTTGCCAATCCCGAGATCCCGAAAGTTTTTATTTCGGATCCCGGGATCCCGGTCTTGTCACTAAATGTCATAAGAGTGATTTCCTGCTGGCATATTTTGCGTCTTTTAGCTTACCACAAACAAAGAAGCAACCAAAAGCCATCCTTAGACCATGTCATTTGCATTAAAAACGATTGACTTTGCGAAGAAAACGTTTCGATTTGAAACGAAAACATTAGCATTTATTCCCAATTGGCCTTTATAAAACTGTGCGTTGACCAGTATGTTCACTAGAAGGGTTCCAGCACATCCATGCCTCACTCACTCTTCGTCTACGCTACTCGTAGTTAGCGCGACAGTTTTAAGCCATTGCTGGTAGGTCTGTCAGTGTCTACTTTAAAACTCGCAAGCAGTGTACGCCAAATTTGGCAGCTCCCTATTTCACAATGTTTTCAAGACGTCGCTTGGTCACTTCACCTCCTTCCGGTTCTGCTTTCATCACTAATGTCTCTCAGAATTTGCTCGAAAGTCGCTTTGAGAGCAGAGTCACTGACTGGGAGAGCTCCATCGTATCGCCTCTAACCTAATACATCCAAAGTCCAATCCGTACCTAGTCCAGTCATGACGGCGTGTTTGACGCGCAATATAACGCACGTACTGCCGGGGTTGCGGGGTTGCGGCTCGGCATAGGGCGGTAGGAGTCTTATTTAGTTTCATTCATTGTGTTACCATTCTTTGCAAGCGGCGCCAAAGAGATAAGTGCGTAGCACTTTTGCGCCAATTGCTTATGTAATTTATGAATTTTATGTTGTTGCAGTGTGAATAAATCTCTCTCTCTCTCTCTCTCTCTCTCTCTCTCTCTCTCTCTCTCTCTCTCTCTCTCTCTCTCTCTCTCTCTCTCTCTCTCTCTCTCTCTCTCTCTCTCTCTCTCTCTCTCTCTCTCTCTCTCTCTCTCGCTCTCGCTCTCGCTCTCGCTCTCGCTCTCGCTCTCGCTCTCGCTCTCGCTCTCGCTCTCGCTCTCGCTCTCGCTCTCGCTCTCGCTCTCGCTCTCGCTCTCGCTCTCGCTCTCGCTCTCGCTCTCGCTCTCGCTCTCGCTCTCGCTCTCGCTCTCGCTCTCGCTCTCGCTCTCGCTCTCGCTCTCGCTCTCTCTCTCTCTCTCTCTCTCTCTCTCTCTCTCTCTCTCTCTCTCTCTCTCTCTCTCTCTCTCTCTCCACTCTACCGTCTTCAACGTTTGAATCAGTGAGCTCTGCCGTCACTTGCGTGACATCTGTGACATCTTTCTGCGACACGAGCTCAAAGACTGTCTTGATGACCTCTTTTGTTCCGGCCACGGACGGGCAAGTCAGAATCGCTGAACGATCTGTGATCCTGATAAAGATGTTGCAGCGCTGATGCTGCAATTTTTTTGGCGTTCGGGACCCTTTTTCGTACGTATTTAAGCGGCTTAACCGCTGTGAGTGATACCCGGGCGCTACCAACACGGTCGATTGTGGACGGCCAAAACGGGGTGCCAACTAAATAGTTTATCTGCTTTATGTCACGTAGCACCATGAACAGTGTAAACAAGACTCGTGCAGCGGATGCATTCTTTTTATGGTGAAAAACTGATTTTTCGGGATCCCGGGATCGGCGGAATTTCGGGATCGGGATTAAAATCCCGCCGGGCTCCCGGGATCCCGATCCCGGGATTGCAGTCTCTAGTAATGACAGACAAAGTTTTTTTAGAGGTGTACTCCCGGTGTCCTGATGACCTAACAATATGTGACCAGTGGGTCAAAAAATCACACACCCGATGCTTAATTGATGATAATTTATTATTATCTATACAAAGTTTCTTCTGCGAAAACCACAGCACTTTACTGCGTGGTTTTCCTTATACACAGTACTCACACAAACTTGCGGGTATGGTAAAAAATCCCCCGACCCTACCTAAGCGAAGGTTAGGTACCTAAGCGATTTACAACCGATGAGCTCGAGGGCACTGAATGTTTTGTCGCGACCGACTGCTTTTACGCGACTTGTTCGCGGAAAAAAAAAATCTAGACGGAAACCATACGTCCCTTCTTCCCCCCCCCCCCCACCGTCATCCTGCGAGGGTTGTTTACCTTAAGTATTTTCCTTAAGTAAAGATCATTAGATACCCCTTCGAGTAATAGGACCCTTTACTCAAGAGGCGTCTCCTCCTCTTCTGATGAAGACGAGTTGGCTGCCACGCTCGTTGTGGCCATGACAGGACCAGCACCACTCAATGTGTTATCCTTACAATCTGCCTTTCGCACTGGTAAAGTGGTTAATCCTCACATGCCAAAGGTAATTGCTGAGCACCCTTTTAGCTCTCAGTCGGCTATTTATCATACACATGCTGAATTTTGATTGAGTAAAAAATGTAATACTTGCCAGTCTGTGTCAGACCTAGGAGAGTAAGTATGAGCTTCGCGTACTTCGTATCCTGCCTGCGCTTTGAGCTACCGTGCTGCAGTTTTTGCTGGCTCGGGTGCATCTGTATTTCTAATTTATGTCACTCACCTGTGCTGCAGCCGGCTAACCTGCCTTTGCCATTGCCAGGCAATGTCAGCTGGGTCGGGCATCTGTGGACGTGGCCGGCCTGCTCGGGCACCCAGTCGGCACACAGTTCAGACTACACTCTGGTGGAGGCAAGCAGCGCCTGATGCGGCCGGAGCCTGTCGAACACACAGAGGACCTGGCGGATGCCATAGCTGCCGGTCAGTCTGGGGCCTGTCTCGGCGTGGGACATTTGGCAGCCTTGGGCAGGGTCCAACAGCCCAGCTTAATGTCTGGGCTGCTTAGCATAAGTTAGGTGATTATGTAAAGTTAGAAGCATCATGTTTTCCGTCCTATTTTTTTATTATAATTATTGTATCATCGTGAATCTTCATTAACATATCTACCTGGGGCCGTATTCACGTCGATCATTTTCGTAAGAATTTTCTTAAGTTTGACCTACTTCTTAAGTAAATTTTTTTATTCACGTGAACTCCGTCGATAAAAACTTAAGAAGTGTTGACGTGAATACCAAATCATACTTACGAAAGAAAATCGACTTACGAAGTCGACGTGAATACGGCCCCTGGTCAGTTCGCTGTTAACAGTAAAAATCAGCAATTTTCACTAATGAGCATGCATGGAGTTCCATTACGGTCGCATGATGCTCTGTTATGGTCGAACTGCAGCGTTTGGCTTCATACCGACCGGCTCTGAGACGTGGTGTTCACACCCACAGACGAGAGTGCGGCCGACAACCGTAACCTGCTGGCCAATCAGACGTCACAGGCCATGACCAAGGAGCGCATCATGGAGATGAGGGAGCAGGGCGCCACCGGGAGGGAGATCGTCACCACCATCGTCGATAACAGCACGTACGGCGTGGGGTCCCCCTGATTCAGCACGGGGGATCTTAGACTCGGGAGGCTACTTCAGGTGTCGGGATAGAACGTGTTTTCGAGGAAATTGTGTTATAACTTATTGATAAGATATATTCATTAGATATTTTAAGAATTCAGAGATTCTGTTTTTTTTTTGGGGGGGGGGGATTTGTGTCTTTTTTTATCATGTGTTCCCTCTCTATAGGCATGGTTGCAACTTTAGTTGTATGCTTTACAAAGCCGACATGGAGTGTTCGGTCTTTCATGTTTTGACCATTACTTTTCCTGTGTCTGAATATTTTGATCTTGAGCTGATTACTTGTTTTCATTCACAGATCATTTCAGGGGAAAACTGAGTTTTCGCAAGCGAAATATGTGCGGAAGAAGCAGAAAAAGTATTTCGAGTTCATCAGTGTTCAAGAGCCGACGGTCAGACTGGTCGCCAGTATGTACTACATGCAGGACCCGCTGAAGATCATGTCAGTTGTATTGCAGCGGCGTAACGTTGTAATTGCTCCGCGCACCCTGCGTTGTCCTGAACAATGCACAGTTCACAGATATCGATCAATGTAGCTCGACATAATTGGTAGAATTTTGTGCCTTGCCGATGTTAACTTGTGCTTAGTTTGTTCGAGGCGTAAAGTACATCAATACACATATTCTATCTCATTTATAAAAACGTCAACAAAAAGCGTACGTTTAAAAAGAATTGTTTTAAGCCAAGCTTTGATGATTATATCCTATCGCCAATCATTTCATTTCGAGGAACCGCATTGATCTGTTTATTTAGGTACCGTATCCCGTCTAACACCGTACCTCTTCTGTTAAACAGTTAAACATCCTGACACACATTCACATGCCGACTATAACTGACCTGTTCGTCTGATGCTGTGTCCCCTACCGACCCGTCTGTCTGACCATCCGTCCCCGTATTTACCCCTCAGTCTGACATCGTCTTCCGTACCACTCCGTCCAGCACATATTCCGTACTGATTAACACTCTCACTACCCGTCCGTTTTCGCCAGGAACCTGCGTGTGGACTCGCTGAGCCAGCTGCTGACGGCGTGCAGTGTCCGGCCGGGCGGCCGCTACCTGGTGCTCGAGTCGGGCTGCCTGGCGGTGACTGTGGCGGCCGTGCTGGAGCGGCTCGGCGGCCACGGTCACCTGGTGCACCTGTTCCAGGGAGGCACGCCGCAGAGGTAGGATTCCGACGGAGAATTCGGGGGGGGGGGGTTCGCTGGAGCTGAGGTAGGGACGGGGAAATATCTCTTTAGGGAAGCACGCCACGGAGGTAGGGAAGGGGGCCATCACTTGGGCCATGAGGGTGCGCCGTAATGGTTGGGGCTGAAGTCATATCCTCTTCAAAGTCGGTAACGCGTAGAGGGCAGAGCTCCGGACTGTAACTGAGCTACGAACACCCATCCTAGCGCTACGAGCATTGTCTAATGTTGCGTTTACTGGTTTCCAGGCACGCGGTGGACGCCATCAACTTCACATCTGACCAGCTGGCCTGCCTGTCGTGTCTGGACCTGCGCACACTGATGACCCACCACCCTGCCGATCCCACCGCCTCCGCCCCCACCGCCTCTGCAGCTCCCGCTTCTGGCGCTTCCCCCGCCAGTGCAGAGGCTCAGGCCGACAAGACGGCCGCAGCGGACCAGAAAACGGCCGCTCCGAATGGTGAGACCGCGTTAACGGCGGAAGAATCGTCGAAACCAGCTGCCGACGGGATCCCGTCATCAGGTGGAGGCGGTGACGCCACACCTATAGATGGTGGTGATGAGGTCATAACTGACGGCGGTGATGACGTCACACCCGCGACTGAGGATCCCGCAGCGGCGGCAGAGGAAGTCGAGGGAACGGAGGCACAGGAGTCGAGGAAGCGCCGCCTCAGTGGTAGCCAGGCGGAGACCGGAGAGCGAAAATCCAAGGTGGGCGCGGTTTTGTTTTTGACGTACCATGTGGGGCGGAATCACATGCAGGCACAATTGTAGAGGTTGTAAATTCAATTTTGCACAAAGAACAATATTAGTGTCAAAAGTGTAAGGTCTTTAGTTAAAGGTAGTGTGCCAGCTTTCCTGGACCGTATGGAGTTAATGGCCCAGATAAGGAGAACCGGATTTTTAGAACTTATCCATACCTTCAAAACTCATGGAAACGTCTTAAATTCTTCAAATTTTGAGTACCCCAGTGCGAAATTCGCCCCGACGGGTTGTCGGTCGTACCCCAACCACATTTCACACCACTATGAACAATAAATGCACACACTGAAATCGCTATTACCGATATGCTCGCTCATCCAATCAAGTTTCGATAAACCCGTTCATCATCATCTCCTGCGGTTTCGAACACGTCTGTTAGGTGGTGCGGTAGACCGCGCCCAAAGCCAGGGCCCCGGTAACGTGAGGTAGCCGAGTCGGGGCAGCGTGCGCTGACCCAAGCCGGGGCCGCACGTCCTCCCGGTGTCATGTGATAGCCCGGGGCTGCCCGCGGGGATGCGGTAGACCGCGCCCAAAGCTGCGGCCCCGGCTTGGGTCAGCGCACGCTGCCCCGACTCGTCTACCTCACGTTACCGGGGCCCTGGCTTTGGGCGCGGCTTCTGCTCATACTTTGTGGTGCGGTGGTGGTGCGTCGGGCCGCGCGCTCTGACTTCGGCCAAGAAAAATGCGTCAGCTGATCATTGTCATTTCTGCCACTTGCGTGTGGTGAAATGGGGTCATAACTTAAGAGACGGCTTTTTCATATCAATTATTTTACATAAAATCATATTTCAAACCATAAATAATGTTCGACAGCCAAATAAAAGAAACAATACTAATACAGGCTTACAGTTTAAGGCTCGACATTGTGTTGTCTACGATTAGACAGCTGATCTCATTCCCGTACGTCGTAACTCTATAATGACCTTTGCTTATTGTCACATGTGCGCCGCATTCGCGATTGTTGCCGACGCCTGTTTGCAGTTCATCCCACTACAGTTGTTATACATATCGAAAAACCGATAAACTTTTAGGCGAAAAAGGCACTATTCCAGGCCCATTTTTGATTTTTTTTTTTTGCGATATTAGGTAAAAACAGAAGCTTCTCATCCTAGGAAAAATAAAATGGGAAATCTTTCAAAGGTGGCACACTACCTTTAAACGCTGATGACGATTCAGTGTGCGAGAAGTTCAAGTAACGCTTACATTGTTTTACCATTTAGGGCCTTGGTTTTACCTACATCTAAACCGTCGACTTTCCGCACTGCCAACCCCAGCTAACAATGCTCTCACCGCGCTCCTCTCCTCCGCCCTCAGTACGCCAGGACGCGCTGCGAGGACTCTGAGCTGGCGCTGAACATGCTGTCCTCAAAGGAGATGGACGGCCTGCTGCTGTGCTGCCGACAGCATCCCGTCAACCTCCTGCGCTACCTGCTGCGCTTCCTCGCCGTGTCGCGGCCATTCGCAGTCTTCTGTCCATATAAAGAGGTACGCTCGCAGGTCTCAGCCATGAGACATCTTGCGTGCATTGTCACCACTGGTTGGAGTCTTACTCTTTTTGTCTTGCCTTTGTGTAGAGTATTGGCATTCTCTTGCTTGGTCTTGAAAATTCTAGAGGTGGGTTATGGCATAGTTACGTCAGCGATTTTTTCCCATGGTCCATTTTATTAACTCCATTTACCATTTAATCCATTTTACTAGTAAATGCCTCTACATGAGGATCAGGAAGAGCGTGCGGGTTAATCGGTCATTCGCGTTTTGCGTGTTATCCCGTATTGGGATGGCATGATAAGTGTAAGTACGTTTTTAGGTCTCGTTTACCAATCTAGCGAAAAGCTGCTCCAGGTGTGCCATGTCTGGCATGGTCACTCTCGGTGTTGCTTTTGACCTGTGGTGGCGGTGTGTTTCAGCCGCTGTTGGAGTGCTATTTCGCCATGAAAGCCGAGGGCTGCATCATGCTGAAAGTCACCGAGACGTGGCTAAGAAATTACCAGGTAAGTAACTAAAACCGGCGTCCTTGCGTCAAAGAAATTCAAGAGATCGACTGCTTTTGCCTATATCAAGTTAAACTGGTATTGAGCACTGGGTTTTCCAACAAATATATTTTTTCCTAATCGTGGCGTGACGGGCATGTTTGCTCGCATTGTGTTAGCCTTGCCTTGTGCTGGAAAATGTAAGTTACATGCTTTTCAGTAATGAGCACGGCTGGATTAATGGGTAACATTTACGTAATGAGGCCGAACTATGTAAGCTATCGCACTATAAGTACAGTTACACTCACAAGATTACAACTTACACCAAATAAGGCAGTAAGAGCAGTGCGGTCCTGTCTTAACTCTCCCTCCCCCTCCCCCGCCCGACCTGTCTCAGGTGCTTCCTGAGCGGACTCACCCCGAGATCAACATGTCGGGCGGCGGCGGCTACATCCTCTCCGGCTTCAAGGTGGACCGCTCGCTCAACAGGGCGGCCGTCACGGACTGACCGGTGGACGGGCCCGCCCACCGACCTCTATGTTACAGTCCGGGGGACACCCACAGTCACAGGCAGGGAGCTGGGCGCGTCGCCACTGGTCTGTGTTAGTATGTGATGACAACCGCGCCACGGTCATTGCTGATCTTTGTTTTCATATGATCGACTTTTTGTCATACATTGATAAAGATCGTCCCCTACTGGTTTAGTCTGAAAGCTATGATTGTTTGACAAAAGTCCTGATATATTTATCGATGGTAGTTATTAAATACTAATGGAACAATTAACTTCTAGATACTCGGTTAGTAAGGGAACACTCAGTCGCGTTTGGCAAAAACCGTATAGTACCACAATTACGCGCGAGTTGAAGAGCTCAACCACTGTGCGACTAGTACGCACTTTGAATGCGTCACTTTTCACATATTTTAGATGCCTGGAAGTGTCAGCTATCGATAACTCTCAGCAACTATAAATATTCGACATCATATATAGTGACAAGCACAACCGTCGACCCTATCACGATTGCAAAAGCAACGCTCAAAAGACACTGCTGGGAAGGCATAATACCCAACAGATCACAAAACAATGACGACACGACGTTCGTGAGGCTGAGCAAATTGACATCAACTCTACGCTTTTGAGCACCTGTAAGGCCGGTGTTTTAGCAAAGACACGGTAAAGCTACACTCACGTCTGCCATCGTGTGCTGACGACATCTTTCCCACTCGGCAGTCAACACCACATCGTGTTCACGGTGTTCCTCTGCAGGTTCAGCACACATCGTCCGCTGCCTACAACAGCTGCGCCTGCAGGCTGTGCCGCGGATCGTCCGGGAGGACGCAGTGCGAGTCCTGCGCGTGGCCGCACAGACTGCACTCCATGGCGTACTCCTGGTACCCGTCCTCCACGGCGAATGTGTGCCGGTGTATGGCGATCACGTGCCGGCAGCCCGAGCACCGGTCTGTGCGCAGAGGGGGCAGACGTGAGGGGTGAGCGGGACGGGAGGCTGCGGGTGATGCTAATTAACGAATAGGTGTGATAACCACAGAAAGGAAAGCCTTACGAAATGAATTCAGACTCACGAGAGAATGTGATGACTTCTGTGCCATCCTCATCCTCTTGCTCATGTTTGTCAGCGTTCTTGATGTCCCGGGTGCCACACTCTGAGCAGGCCAATAGGTTCTGTATGAAGCTGCCACTCTCCAAAACCATGCGGTCCTGTAGCAACAGAAAACAGATAAGGGTGTGCTTTAGCTTACTTAATTCTCTCTACAGCTATGTTTCAATTGATTGTAAGATAAGTTTATCATGAAGTGAAGTTAAAATCTCAAGTACATCATGCTTACCCTGGTGGGATATTCGTCTTTGATGCACTTGTGACACATCGCTGTAGACCCAGAAAAGGGAGTAAAACGTTCCTTTTTTGCCAGTTGCCTGGCCAAAAACTCGACCTTCGGGTGAGAGCACCGCTAGAACGTATGTACTAGGGTGTATCGTCGAATTTTGATTTTTTTTAATCGTCTTCACTACTAAATTTTATTGGTCCCTGGCATGTTTGAAGCCGTAGGATACCAATCAAAAAAATCTGGGACGAAAACCTAGCCTGCTGCGAGCGGTTGAACGGAGGCCTGTCGGGACGGCGCCAGGCGTTGAAGTCTCCCCGTTAGTTACGCGCACACTAGCACCACGCGGCGGCTGGCGCCGTGCCGCCGCGTTCCCGGTCAGCCGTGTTTTAGCGTTCACTGACGGGTCGAGGTGATTATTCTAAGCTTTCCTAAGAAGCTTTCTGCCCCGCAGCTCATTATTGAGCAAGAATATCGCACAGACTGCATAGAACATTGACATGCAGGTTGTCGGCACATATGGAGAAGGGGATGTTTTGTTTAATGCCTCCTCTAATAGGAAGAGATTGTGGAAGAACAACACATTTCTCTTGGAAATTACTCATCCTCCTTCTTCCTACGTGCCTGCTTTAGTAATCGAAGTACCCCTATTGACTCTACGTTCTTGATTCGGCTGTCGATTTTATGCATGGAATTCCGCTATATTATATTTTCTCGCTCAATGTCCCCTGAGCTATATTGAGGCGTCACGGGACAGCAATGCTCAGCACACAACTGCAGAGAAAAAGTCAATGTGGTCATGCGTTTTGTATGCCAAAATGTGTGAGCCTTGGCGTGTACCAGCAGCCGTTGTCACCATTGTAATTTTCACGACTTTATCTTTATAAGGATGCAATTGCCCACTTCCCAGTTCCCAGACTGGGTTTGGAGATATAGTTTTACAGAAACATTTAGGAATGTCTGTAATGTAAGTTAAAAGCTAATACCGAAAGGAATCCACATATTTTCGAATTTCCTGTTTGCTGTATTGCTTAGTAAATGCCAGACGTCATGATGGCATGGTTGCGATTGATGGTATGCCGGATGGCCAGGGTACGAACTCACGGTAAGTCAGCTTGGCCGGCAGGCATCAACAGGCACAATAGTCTTACACTGATATCGTCACCCTCAGTTATTCGTCACCATTCAGCAACAAGCCCAGAGCTTCGGGCTTTGAACCGTAAGGCACAGGTGTAGGAGCAAGACATTGCGCCGATTCGAAGGGCTGGAAGGGCAGCATCGCGGGGGCTGGAATGCGCCTGAGCGGCTGAGACCATCCCATTGGGACGGGGGTGTTCTGGGTGCACTCAGCCGCTCATGCTGGGAAATGCATCCAATGGAGCTCTACCCCATCCCCACCCGTTTCGAATGATTAGGCTGACCTTTAGTCTAGAACAAAGAAGGATGATGGTTGGCTGGTCCCGAGGATAGAAAGGACAGGTAATGACATCATATAATGAATCGAAGACGGCCCCGGCCCGATCCTCTGATAGAGGCTCATCAACACGTATCTCGTTGTGGACCATTTCGCTTTCCTCCACCGTGGTTTTTGTACCGACCTCAATGGGTTGGAAGATTACGATGTTCAGAAACCATTAAGGTCGTAATTGTATATTCGTTGAGTTAGGTTAGCCTTTCCATTCCATGAAGACTACTTTATAATTATTGGATGATAGGATGAGGTTTTCACTGTGTTGAACCTGTCCTACCTGCTTAGTGAACGAATATACAACGAATATACAATTACGATCTTAATGGTTTCTGAACATCGTTACCTTCCAACCGGTTCAGGTCGGTGCAAAAACTACGGTGGAGGAAAACGAAATGGTCCACAACGAGATACGTGTTGATGAACCTCTATCAGAGGATCGGACCGGGGCCGTCTTCGATTCATTATATGATGTCATTACCTGTCCTTTGTATCTATCCTCGGGACCAGCCAACAGTCATCCTTCCTTGTTCTAGACTGGTCACCCTAATCATTCGAATGGAGAGCTCCATTGGATGTATTTCCCAGCATGAGCGGCTGAGTGCACCCAGAACACCCCCGTCCCAATGGGATGGTCTCAGCCGCTCAGGCGCATTCCAGCCCCCGCGATGCTGCCCTTCCAGCCCTTCGAATCGGCGCAATGTCTTGCTCCTACACCTGTACCTTACGGTTCAAAGCCCGAAGCTCTGGGCTTGTTGCTGAATGGTGACGAATAACTGAGGGTGACGATATCAGTGTAAGACTATTGTGCCTGTTGATGCCTGCCGGCCAAGCTGACTTACCGTGAGTTCGTACCCTGGCCATCCGGCATACCATCAATCGCAGCCATGCCATCATGACGTCTGGCATTTAATAAGCAATACAGCAAACAGGAAATCGAAAATATGTGGATTCCTTTCGGTATTCGCTTTAACTTACATTACAGACATTCCCAAATGTTTCTGTAAAACTATAATATCTCCAAACCCAGTCTGGGAACTAGGAAGTGGGAAATTGCATCCTTATAAAGATAAAGTCGTGAAAATTACAATGGTGACAACGGCTGCTGGTACACACCAAGGCTCACACATTTTGGCATACAAAACGCATGGCCACATTGACTTTTTCTCTGCGGTTGTGTGCTGAGCATTGCTGTCCCGTGACGCCTCAATATAGCTCAGGGGACATTGAGCGAGAAAATATAATATAGCGGAATTCCATGCATAAAATCGACAGCCGAATCAAGAACGTAGAGTCAATAGGGGTACTTCGATTACTAAAGCAGGCACGTAGGAAGAAGGAGGATGAGTAATTTCCAAGAGAAATGTGTTGTTCTTCCACAATCTCTTCCTATTAGAGGAGGCATTAACCAAAACATCCCCTTCTCCATATGTGCCGACAACCTGCATGTCAATGTTCTATGCAGTTTGTGCGATATTCTTGCTCAATAATGAGCTGCGGGGCAGAAAGCTTCTTAGGAAAGCTTATAATAATCACTTCGACCCGTCAGTGAACGCTAAAACACGGCTGACCGGGAACGCGGCGGCACGGCGCCAGCCGCCGCGTGGTGCTAGTGTGCGCGTAACTAACGGGGAGACTTCAACGCCTGGCGCCGTCCCGACAGGCCTCCGTTCAACCGCTCGCAGCAGGCTAGGTTTTCGTCCCAGATTTTTTTGATTGGTATGCTACGGCTTCAAACATGCCAGGGACCAATAAAATTTAGTAGTGAAGACGATTAAAAAAAATCAAAATTCGACGATACACCCTAGTATGTACCACAGAATTTCGTTCCGTTTGTGGTCTATTATCAACAGCAACGCACCGTGCACACACTGGCACACACGTTTACATTTTCGTGAGATTGCAAATCACGGGCTTTCACGGAACGTTGGGGATGTGTGGTCACTGTTCAGCATTATTTACGAAAACCGTTTTTGTAGCGCGGAACGAATCGTGCTGCGGAACAGAAAAGGCTGACGTCAGCTAAATGTTTCTATTGGTTGAAATTCAACTGTGAGCAGCTATTTCAAAATGTGAACAGAAACTGGGCGCCAGCAAATGTCGCAACCGCGTTGTTTATGTTTTCGTGACTCACGAAAGGGTGGGGTGGCGGTGTCACGAAGGGTTTATCGTCACGGTCGGAGAGTTCGTGAGTTGTTGGGCTGACTGGTTTATTTTAAATCACTCCAATGATTTCTATTCTATCACACGCAACTTCGTGATGTGTAAACGCAGTCAACTGTGTTGGTTTTGCCCTATAGTGTTGTGGAACGGTGGGCTTGGGCTGGGATGGGAGGCGCCTATCAGATTTATTTCAAAAGGCATCTGGTGGCATAGTACTCTGAATTTCATTTTGTTACCTTGATGTTGTTGACACTCCCTGATTGACAAGTTTTAACAATAGGTGTGATAGTCACAGACAGGGGCGCGGGAACTACTTTCCGACTGGGGGGGCACACCAGATTAGAGATTAACCTAGCGTACCCCCAAATCTAGTTTTCTCACCGGTTTTAGGCCACTTATTTTTCACCCCTCGGCTTTTTCAACAAATAAAGAAAACATTTGCAAAAAAGTGTGGTATTCCGTCTCAAAGCTGTGGGGGCACCGCCCCCACGGCCCCAGAGTTGGGGGGGCAAGCTGCCCCCACTGCCCCCCCGGCTCCCGCGCCTATGGTCACAGAAAGGGAAACCTTATAAATAAAATGAGAGTTCAGACTCAAGAGGGAATGTGATAACTTCTGTGCCGTCCTCATAGTTGGGATTGCCATGGGGGATAATTTGGCAACCTTCCAGAAAGTTCCCAATAATTATCCATGCTCCGCAACCTTTGACAAATGCCAATAGAAAATTAAGTGCAATTGAAATATCCTTTCTTTGCAGTGTGTGTTGAAATTAATGTGAAGCTTTCCCTGCACTTGATTATGTCAATTTGTCTCATTTTCTGTGAAAAAATGTAATACTAATGGTGCCTTACAGCTTGTAATTTACAGGATAAAAAGGCTGGGAATGAAAATGAAACCAATAAAAAGGAAGTGAAGAAAACCCTCAAATTGAAATTGGATTGCATTCCCACATTGGTAATTCCTTGTAGCTGTAGGATTACCTTGCAAATCAGTCTGTCTGTCCCCCTAAATTTCCAGTATTTGAGTATCATAGCACACTCATTGCCATAGATGCCTTGTGAGAATGGCTTGACATCCTACATATTTTTATATAATAGGGCATTGACTTTTACTCTGTCCTTTCCTTTGCAGGAGTCAATAAGTATCCAGCTTCTGCCAGGTGTTCATAAGGAAGTCCTGGCCAGCTGGTACTGTGCCAGCCTTCTGCAAACATGGATGCCTATGATGTTATCTTCAACCAGCCTGTTGTCATTGACAATGTGAGTGTCATGTCAATGTGTGTATGATAAGTCATTTGTGATATTGTTTTGATGCCTAACTTTGATTGAAGTTATCACCCAGTCTGTCAGTATCCACCTATCCCATTGCTCAATGCTCAGTGAATGCTCACACTCTTGGAAGCTTTATATTGTGCAACATATCAGTTAATTTGGAAAGGTACCTACCTGCCCTCTCAAGTCATTGAATTTCATCAGCTGTCGCCTGTCTTCCAGCTCTGTTGTTCAAGCATTTCCCATAATTGATGATAAATTTGCACAGATGTGTTTGTTGCCCTAGAAATAACAGTTCTTTCACTTCTTTCTAGCATGGTTTTAATTCCAGTGAATCCACCAAAATGTATTTGCTGTATCTATCCAACACAGTTTTTGCCACAGACAGTTAAAGGGACCCTCCCACCTTCAAAAAAGTTAATGAATTGGCATGAAAGTGATGTCCCTTGGTTCAGAAAGAGCGAAAACGAATATCTACCAAATTTCACCGAAAAATATTCACTGGTTTTCAAGATATTAGGCTTTTACTTTTGTTTACTTTTTGGGATCTCCCCTGTTACTAGCGACTTTATTTGGAAGCAATAATTTGGCAGCCTTAAAGTGCGGCAGACGTTGCGCGCAAAGCAGCGTATACCACCACGTGTTAACGATGGTTTTAGTCAAAGATTTAAAAATCCTTAGATCTCCGCTGACGTCACAAATTCTAAGGGGGCATTCCAATGCATTAGCCCCTTAGAATCCGAAAACTGCAAGTTTGAAATTCCATATCTTCGAATTAAAGCATTTTTCGATGTTGTGAGTGCCCAAACCGGTATTTGCAGGCCATGGCCACCAATTTGGCTATCTCAACTCAAAACTAATGTTAAGGTGGGAGTGTCCCTTTAAGGATATACACATTGTGTGGCCTTGAGTCTTTCCCACAAGTCCATTGTTTTGACTTGAATGGCCACCTGTATCTTGAGTCTTTGCCCCCCCCCCCCAGATTTCAGTCATGTTAAGCTTTTCACATTGCCAGACACAGTGTAAGATTCACTCATTTCAATTGGCTGTGATTGCTTACACCAGTTGTGACTGAACAGCTTTGTCAGAAGTCTTCTGTGTCTGTATTCTGTCATGTGCCAGGTTCTTGAAGATCGAAACAAAGTGGCAATTTGCTTCAGCTCAGGCATGTCATGCTTATGCTAATGCTGTTCGATGTTGTTGCAGGGATCTGGTGTGATCAAGGCAGGCTTTGCTGGAGATCAAACACCAAAGTGCCACTTCCCAAACTAGTGAGTACCCGATCCTACGTGCTTGGGGCGAGAGTGGTGTAGTAGTGTTATGTAGATTTCACCAAGAAGGCTATTGGTTTTATGGAGTAGTGTTTACGTAGTCATCAACTATCGACATGCTATTTGTGTGACAGCTTTTTACGTGCGAGCATGAAGCGAGACATAATCTGATGAACAGAGCAAACGTGAGTATGAACGGCATCACTCGACCCGACCCGACCCGACCTGAAGGCTGCTGGCTGAAACACTTGTGAGTGGCTTATATCTTTGCAAATGAAAATTCGTTTGACAAACGATTATCCCTGCTACCTCGAAATCGACTAGGTATTCCTGCTGCTATTCCTGCTATTCCTGTATTCCTGCTAGGTATTCCAAGGGATCGTTACCGCACGTCGTATCATGTGCCAAACCATAGTTGTGAAGAAAAAATGTAGCTGCCTATTCGGCTACAGTTCAATCGTTTGCCCATGACGCTGACGCGTGGTATTCCTTATTTCAGTGTGGGAAGGCCGAAACACGTACGGGTAATGGCCGGGGCGCTGGAGGGAGACATCTTCGTCGGTCCCAAGGCGGAAGAGCACAGAGGTCTTCTCAGCATCAGGTAGGCCGTTTAAGGAATGAGACCACCTCTGGAAACCTTCTGTATGGTCATCTGCCCAACTTACTATTCGTGTGAGTAATGTGATGTTTGTCGAATGTCAATACCGCTCCACTATGATGACAGGTATCCGATGGAGCACGGCATTGTGACCGACTGGAACGACATGGAGCGTATCTGGCAGTACATTTACAGCAAGGACCAGCTCAAGACATCCTCAGAAGAGGTGAGCGGACGCGCGGCTAGCACTGTCAACCAATCGAGATCTTCCTGGCCATGGAGTGGAGTGAACTTTAACGTTCATTACACTCATGAGTATTGTATTTCTGCTGTGCCTATAGAATGGTGTATTTGTTTCCTGAAACACCGTTTTTTCGTCACTCGTCAAAATATCCTAATTACGACGTATTTTTACTTGCAGAGGGAACGATATATTTTTAGAACATTTGGCGGTAAAGAGTGTGTTTCTAAAATACTACTCATGGTAAAATTATCTGGTTTGCCAGCTGTTTACCAAGGCCATCTATGGTAAATTACGGTCACTCTACGAACGATGGCCAATCAGAAGGCGATTATGGTGAAATCGTCCATGGGAAATAATGCATCGCGATCATTGCGTTCAAGCTGGCTGATAACGGCACGCCATAGAGTGGCGTGCCTCCGGATCTCACAATACTTTGTTTTTCAGCATCCTGTACTTCTCACAGAAGCTCCCCTCAACCCGAAGAAGAATCGAGAAAAGTCCGCAGACCTGTTCTTCGAGACTCTTCAAGTTCCTGCCTTGTTTGTGTCCATGCAAGCCGTCCTCAGTCTGTAAGTAAACAACAAACAACAGTTTTCGCTAACTTCCCTTTTGGTAGTATGTACTGGTTTTCGTACAGTTGACGGTTGTTAAGGGTTAACATAATTGACTTCGCGTTCTCGTCTACAGGGTGGGGCAGAAAGATTTACCTGTTTGTTTTCAGTCCATAACTCAAAAAGTTATGAACGGATTTTGATAAAATTTTGCATGCCGCTTCCCAACTGACTCATGTATCCACATTAAGATCGTTTTTGCATTTCGTAATATTTGTTGGTGAGCTATGGCGAAGATGACTAAGAGAGCCCAAATTGCGTCGCTAAATTAGGCTGGCCATAGCTCCTGAAGCGTTGCCAAACAGCTCGGTGTTACCGTAAAACTGTTTGCAGTGTAATTAAATGACTTAAAAAGACAGGGTTGGTGTCGACGAAGTCCATGCCAGGCAGATTAACCCTCGCCCGCACATGGGGGGGGGGTGGTTGCCACCCCCCCCCCCCAGGTAGTCTTTCTGCTCTGCACTCGACATTTTTAGAGCTAGAAGGCTGATTTTTCGTATAGCTGCTCCTCTATCCTTTCTTCATGTCCACTGAAAATTTCAAGTTTCTGTGATTTTTTGTTTCGGAGATATGACCTTGTTTTTCAGGTCATGTCATGACCCAAGTGGCCAATTCTCAACATCTTGCGTTGGCTATGGGCCTTGTGAGCTTTTGACACCTTGATTTCGGCCTTTTTTGCCAGTCTTACCTCCCACCTATCATGGAACATGTTGTTCGACGATGTACAGGTGTCAAGGTCAGGGTCAAGGTCAACCTAGGTCACCTAAGATAATTGCGTTTTAGGCAAGCTGAATTTACTTTTTGTGAAGTTTTTTGACCGCTTTTTTGGTAAAAGCTTCTCAGATCATGATTTCATGTAATATGGACACATAGACAATCGGTGCACACATCAGTATACACACAGACACACACAGACATACAAACACATATAATTGACCTTGACCTAACTTGACCTGAAATGACCTCAGAAGCAAAAATCTGGTCGGGTAGTGTGAGAAAGAGGTTCTAGCTGGCTTGGCACCAGAAAACGGCATCGTCATCGGTATATGCTAAGCAGCGCACTTGATATCCAACGGTGACCCAAAACAGCAACATTTTTTAGTTTGACCTGACCTGGAAGGTCAATGACTGATCTGAGAAGGTAAAACTGGATATCATTGGATTCGTCTCTTCCCAAAGAATCTTTTTGGTCTTTACCGCTAAGCTCTATCTCCAACAGGAACGAAATGGCGCGGGGGGGTGGCAACCACCCCCCCCCCCCCCATGTGCGTTCTAGGATGGGAAAATGGCATGTGCGGGCGAGGGTTAAGGGATATCTGCGCCCAAAATCGCCAGAAGAATCATAAACGACGGCTTGGGCTTTATTTCATACAGGGTGCAACATCGGCACCTAATTTCGGCGGCATCAAGGGAAAAGCGGCTACACAGGATCCAAAAGACATTGGAGGAGATCAGGAGCGCCGGTAACAAGACATTCTTCTGGTCCAATGACAACATGTTCATGCTTGAGCCCCAGCCCCCAGAGACACTCCCAAAACGTCAGAATTTTGGCAGATGGTTCATCCAGCATTGATCCTGCTATTCGCACCATTTTTCGTCGCCAGAAGCCTGCTGGTGTCTTGGTTTGGGCTGCCGTCGCATCCGACGGCTCAAAAGGATCCTTGGTCTTCATCAAGGAGGCTGTAAAAGTTAATTTACAGGTTTAAGTCCATCTGCTGGTGGAACATGTTTTGCCTTGGGTCACTGAGTCGTTCCGAGACGGATACGTCATCGTCCAGGACGGTGCGCCGCCGCAAACGGCCAACATCGCTCAACCGTGGTGGAAGACCCACATGCCTGGGTTCTGGGACAAAGACATTCGGCCATTATCAAGTCTAGACCTGAACCCGATGGACTTCGCAATCTGGATCATCTTGGAGAGGAGGGTGTGTGCAGCAGCACACAGCAGAATCGCCGCCCTGAAGCTGGCCCTTGAGACGGCACCGTCGAGTCTTGGCGGGGACACCGTGCGGCGCTCGTGTCCCTCCGCAGAGGAACGTTTCGAGGCAGTGGTGAAGGACAAAGGTGACTATATTGAGTCATAATACCGTCGCTGAGAAGCAGGGCGGATTTTCGGCGACTCCGACTCCGACTCCGACTCCGGCTTTCAAAAACCAGCTCCGACTCCGACTCCGACTCCGGGCAGAATTGTCGACTCCGACCGACTCCAACTCCCGACTCCGACTACGCAGACCTAGCAGGGCTGCGGAGTCGACAGATTTTCGGTGACTCCGACTCCGACTCCGGCTCGGGTTTCTAAAATCGACTCCGACTCCGACTCCGACTCCGGTCACAACTGTCGACTCCGACCGACTCCGACTCCGACTCCGACTCCGCAGCCCTGCTGAGAAGTGTATGTACATGTTACTGCATATATGTGCCAGAAATCAATTTGATATCTTTGTTCAGGGCCGAAATATTTAAGAAAATCAAGAGGTAAATCTTTCTGCCCCACCCTGTAATTACCTTTTAGATATACAGGGTGTCCCAAAAGTAAGGTCATGGTTTAAAACTTAAATATCTCGAGAAGTAAGAGTCCGAATCACTTCCAATTTTAACACGTGCAAGGTACATCCATAAAATTATTTTCTTGCATGCTTAAACCATTTTTGATCATAACTACACCGAGCAGTAGGCATAAAACTGAGAAGGTCGAAATTCAATTCTTAGAGAGGGTCCGTCATTAAAACAAAGGGTAAATACCGCCCAGTTTTCGGCCCTAAGCAGACCCTATCAGCTCGCCCTATCTCTGAACTCATGCATAGTTTCGCCTCAACCGGTAAAACGTCAGAAAAAAGGTATAACGTACGCACAGGGCATGTATACTTAGCCACCAGTGCTTCGAGGTCCTAAGGACAACAGCGGGAATCGGGTGAAAATAAATCAAGAGAGGTGGCCGAGAGTCCTCCCAGTGGTTCTTCCGCTCGTCGCAACGCAGCTGTGCCGACACCATCAACCAGCAGTGGTTTCAGCAGGATGGAGACTATGCTTGCACCGTCCTGAAGATCATGCATTGTCTCCGAGAGTGGATGTGAGATCGCGTAATTTTCAGTCAGGGCAACGCCATTGAATGGCCTCAGCAGTCAGCGGGCACCTGACATTACACCTTCATATTTTTATTCTCTGGGTACACAACGGAGAGGTTGTCTTTTAGGACAACCCAACGAGCCGGGAAGAACTAAAGGATGATCCCTCCGAGCAAACATAAGCGGCATCTCACCAGAGAATCGCTCCAGAATAGTGGAGGAAGTAAAACGCAGTCTATTCATGCACGCGGCCCGAAATGGTAGCCATGCAGAAAAGCAGCAAATGTGGGGCTACGAGCCAATGTATTGACTCATATGTATATCAGAATAAAATTTTATAAAATGCTCTTTCATATCATGTCCTATTTATTTCTATCCATCGCGTATTTTTGGCGGTGTGGCCAAAACAAATGATGACCTTACTTTTGGGACACCCTGTATCTTATGCACACTATCCTGCGCCGACCTTTTTTAACAGATAACGCTACCGGTCTCGCCACCCTACCATGTCGACTGACGGCCCCCTCCCTCCCCAGGTACGCCACGGGTCGGACCACGGGCGTGGTGCTGGACGCCGGGGACGGAGTGACGCACGCCGTGCCCATCTACGAGGGTTTCGCGCTGCCGCACAGCATCATGAGGGTGGACGTGGCCGGTCGCGACGTCTCCCGCTACCTAAGGTACGTCAGCCGAGCGTCTGTTGGAAACGGATGTGCGCTCGATGCATGCAAGGTTATCTTACTTATATTTTCAATGGCGGATAGGACTGGTGGAAATGGACGTTTATTTATACTTTTTACCGTGTCTTTATGCCTTGGGCGTTTTTTTTTTATCGGACGCCTGCCATCGTCATGGATTTCGCGATGTGATTTATTTGAGTCCTTTAAGTCATGCTGATGCACCAGCTTTTTTCGACCCAGACGACGCTATTGTTGGCATTTCACTTGGCCTTTCCCGCCGACAGCGTTTCCGTACAATGGTGTAGTTCGCTTCAGTCTCATTGGCACACCTGAATATCGGTAGCACCCCACCTACAAACCCACGTCGGTCGTGTGGTCCAATGACATCACTTATTCTCTCGCTCTGACGTCACAGGCTTCTGCTGCGGAAGGAGGGCGTCAATTTCCACACGACGGCCGAGTTCGAGGTGGTGAAGGCGATCAAGGAGCGTGCCTGTTACGTGGCCACGGACCCGAGCCGAGAGGAGGCCAAAGAGCCGGAGCGGGTGCGGTACACACTGCCCGACGGCAGCCACCTGGAGGTCAGTGGACACGGCGAACACCGAGTGGCGGACGCTGTGGAGCGTTGGTGGGGGATCCGGTGCTAGGAAAGTGCAGTGATGTCCACTTATCGAACGTCTCCGTGGGGAGGAAGTGGGTGGGGTGGCCCAGAGAATGGGAGTGTCTTGAAAGATTTAACCAGCCTGACTTATGCCACCCCTCCGGACCCTCCTCCGCGTCAGATAGGCGTGGCTGATGTGTTATTGTGACCACCAGCTGATGACCCGTGCCCCCCCCCCCCCCCGTCAGATTGGCGCGGCGCAGTTCCGCGCTCCCGAGGTGCTGTTCCGGCCCGACCTGATCGGAGCCGAGTACGAGGGCATTCACGAGGTGCTCATGTACTCTATTCAGAAATCGGACCTCGACCTCCGGAAGGTGCTCTTCCAGAACATCGTCCTCTCCGGCGGATCGACGCTCATCAAGGTGGGTGAAGCACACCTCAAAATATGGCTTATTCTTAATTGAAGTCGGTCTAGAAGAACACCTTTGATTGTTACTTTATCGATAGACTTTTTGTTACGTGTTAATATGCTTATAAAAGGGTAGCTAATGTATAACATTTGATTGCATTTTCTCGAGATCGGAGATGTTATAACCAGATGAATCAAAAGTTGCACGTATTGGGCATAAATATAACCAGGGGTGTGTTTACCGACGTGGTGTTCGTCGTCGGAAAATCGAATGACAATGTGAATGATTTTAGGGCTTCGGAGACCGTTTCCTCAGTGAAGTGAAGCGGTTGGCGCCGAAAGACATCAAAATAAAGGTAAACGAGCAACAGACGTAAGACATCGCACTTACTTGGCTATCAACAGTGCAACCCATTCACTTTGGCAATTAGTACCTACCTAACCCATTCATCGTGTATAAACGACGATAATAAGGAGCATTGAGTCTCACTGAGTACTTAGGTTTTATATCAAACTTGCCAAAGCCAAACATCCCCTTGTATGAACACTTGATCTCGAGTGACTGCACCGGTTACTTATGTCTGCTGTTTGCCATGCCACGCTAGCCGGCCGCTCCCTGGTGTATATGTCGTCTCTTTTCTCACCCACCACTGTCCATCCGCCCGTCAGATGTCCGCGCCCAAGGAGCGCGTCTACTCCACCTGGATCGGCGGATCGATCCTGGCCGCGCTCGATACTTTCAAAAAGATGTGGGTCAGCAAAAAGGAATACGAGGAGGAGGGCGCACGGGCCGTCCACCGTAAGACCTTCTGAGCGCGCCTTTAGCCCGACCCCGCAGGTCGGGGAGGAGCGGGGTCCAGTGACCTCGCTGTCAGCGCAGCCTTGGGGTGCGTCAGTTGAACCGGGTCGGCCTTCCGGCCCGGGTCACTGGTGATCGCATCTCTCATTGCGTGCTTATAGTTTTCTATGGGCGGCGGAACGTGTGTGATAAGTTATTTTGGACGGGCGCGCCGGTGGTGGCCGAGCTGCTGTCCGGCGCGGTATGTGCGTGTCTATCTGTCATCCATGTCAGTCTGTGTGCGCGGGTGCGGCGGCGCGCGGTTTTGGGACTCCGCGGGCGCCGCCGCCGCGTCTATGCCTTGCGCGGCTTTATGGTGTCCCGCGTGCGGCGTTGAAGGCGACATTCCGCGGGAGGCCCGGCGGGGGCCGCCGACCCGACGGCTGCGAGTGTGGCGGCGGCCTGTCAGTGTACTGCACCTTTCTTCCCGAGCACAGCCACGGAGCGCGGCGACGGACGCTTCTAGTTTGACACCCCTGTTACGGACTCTAGGCGTGAAGGCGGGAGTAACCATTGAACTGTCCCTCGGGCGGGTTGTGACTAGGTTTTGGAGTTATGACGGGCAGCAACGAACAACGTCACTATCTTCGTCGGCCACTCATTGCAGGCTAAAGGGCGTTAATATATTACTAAGTCAACACGAATACAAGACTACAAACAAAACTGTATTTGTACAGGAATCCAATCGGAGCGATGCTTGCATGTTAGAAGCATTGCCCAGTCATGGATACACGTCACAGCCCTGATTACTTTGCTGAGAGTGATCATTCCATTAAGCTTATTTCATTGACAGAAAATATGCAACACGCCACACAATGGGACGGACAATAAACTAGAGCTCTTTCACGGTCCGGCGCGGAATATCACATTCACTGGAGCTCAACCGGATAAGTTGTTATTGGTTTGGGGCGGACGTCCGAAAGGCCAAACAGGGGCCGCATATCCACAGATCATCCCTGGGACGTGCCAACTCACGTGCCGTTCGGCGGCAGGAACTCCTGCTCCTCCGTGTCGTAGCGGACCAGGTGCGGGTCGATGCCGAGGTGGCGCAGCAGCTGCGCCATGTCTGTCGGCTGTCCGCGCGCCTCCAGCCGCTGCTGCAGCTCGGCCAGCGCCTGCTGGGCCGCCTCTCGCCAGCAGCCCGTCAGCCGGGCCAGCTCCGGTAGGCTGTGCTGGGGACGGGGGGAGAGGGATTAGCCGGGCAGTGACCCGGAACGGGCGTCAGCCAGGGGAGCTGACGAAATGATATGCAATGGAAATGTCCCGGTAACGTGTTTTGTCGAGTTTACCGCTCCAAAACATGACAAAAATATTGCTTTAATCCTCACATTCTGCCTGTAGTGGTTGACGAGCCGCAGTTTCTGCAGTTTGTCCTCCTTTTCACGCAGCTCAGCACTGCCCAGGCTCAGCTGTCGCCGTTTGAAGCGTGGTCGCGGCTCGGACGACTCCGACCCATCCCTGGACCTCTTTCTGATGACAGGAGTGTTAAAGGTTCCACCGCTGGCGCCATGAGATGGCGAAGCAGAGGCAAGGCTTTCAGCAGAACTGTCTGCAAGTGGTGTGCTGTCACATGCACTCATAGTAACCACCTAACTAGGTCCAATGCCAGTAACTTGTGATTCTCCAGAGGCTGCTCCAGAGTCCAGAGACCAGAATAATCATATATTGCACAAAAGATTGGCAATTAGGTGTGAATTGGTTCACCAATTGCTAGGCCTTGCAGTGGCAGAATCTGAAATAAAGTCATCAACTTGTCAGTCATCAGTTAGGGGCAGGACTTTGCCTACAACCCACATTGGCATTCTTGGAATTTGATCAATGGTAAAAAATATCAGTATGTACCAAGTGCTAGCTCAGTAATTCAGCGGGTACTGGCTTAACCAATATCTACACTTGATTGTCATATTAGTATCATAATTTGACTTAAAATGTCTGAGATAATCTTGACCAGCGCAACGGACAATGAGTCTGTCATCGAGCATGCAGTCCTATGGACTAAGTTGAAGGCATGCACATTCGTTTTCTTCACCAACAACTACATCACTTCAGCTTGACTTATAATGCACCAATTTCAGCTGTGGTATACCTTTCTTTTCATTCTACCAATTCTATAAATCATGAAAGCATTATGATAAATAAAATAACCAATAGCAAGTTTAAGATGCTATATGGTATATCTACAATGCGTAGGTAATTATCTCATGGAAATCTCATGAATTAACTCCTTTATTTTTGCAATAAATAAAAAAAATACGAAAATTCATCACCCCTTTTCAACATTTGCAATCAAACTGGAATATTTCAATTCAACGTCTTTCAACCACACCCGCCCAAAAATCAGACTGCGCCATGGATGTCCTAGCTGCGCAGTTTTTGCAGAAGATAATAAAATTTAGTTAAAAATGACGTATTATAAATATTTTCACAAAATACTGCTATTTGTATTTTTTCACAATAAAAAAATTAAATTTTAGAATAGCAAAATACACTATGATTATATTTGTTTGGCTAACGAACGGCTATTCTGCTAAGTTTGGCTATTGGCGTCACTCATCAAATCTTTCTTCATTTTCCGCTGGTTGTTTATTCAATACTGCCTCGTGGGTAGCAAGTGACAGTTTCCATCGTGCGTTTCTTTTATTTTATATTTCAAGATTACAGCGTATTTTGATTAGATTCTTTGGATTTTTTCATTAAAATATTATTGCCTGCATAATTTGAGCCCATGATGATGGCTTGAGTATCAGTATTACATATGTCTGTGTACTGCGGAGTGCGGAGCGCGGCATCAACATGACAATGAGCTCTGGCTCGAAAATTTCCGTCTTCATTCATGACCCGACTGGAAAAAATGCCTCCACTACGCTGAAGTTCTCGGCGGAGGTGATGCGCCGAAATTTCGGCGCAAGGGTTTATGCGCCGAAATTATTTTACCAAGCCATGCTTCATGCGCCGAAAATTTTCAAGGCTTACTGATGGCTGCAGGCTGTAGCCACGCACTTTTCGTCGAGGGGGGGCTGGCGTGTGTGTGTGACTGTCTTCCAGTGACTACTGTCTACAGACGGTTGTTGGCACGGTCGACGGGATCGGGCAGACAAAAGACACCAGCAGGCCATGCGGGACCGAGCACCAGGGTTCGCTACCCGACTGGAAAAAATGCCTCCACTACGCTGAAGTTCTCGGCGGAGGTGATGCGCCGAAATTTCGGCGCAAGGGTTTATGCGCCGAAATTATTTTACCAAGCCATGCTTCATGCGCCGAAAATTTTCAAGGCTTACTGATGGCTGCAGGCTGTAGCCACGCACTTTTCGTCGAGGGGGGGCTGGCGTGTGTGTGTGACTGTCTTCCAGTGACTACTGTCTACAGACGGTTGTTGGCACGGTCGACGGGATCGGGCAGACAAAAGACACCAGCAGGCCATGCGGGACCGAGCACCAGGGTTCGCTATCACAAAATCTCCTGACTCACAAACTCACTGGCATGTTCCATAACGTAACCTTTATTTTGTTGCCCGGCTCTGATCAGCAGTAGTGCCCAGCCGGTGACTGACGCCTGACGGGGCCTTCAACAGGCGTGGTGCAAGCACGGCCGATGGGATCGGGCAGATACCAGGCCACGCGGGACCGATTGCCAGCGTCCGCTCACAAACCACACGCCGGAAATACAGGAATCACAACGGTCAATACGCACACGATAGCATACGTTATCTGAACTAGGGGATCCGACAATCCATAACCTCACTCTGGATCGGTGAACTGTTCCCGCCGTGGGAGAGTCGCAATCAGGTTCACTGAACATGACTTAAATACCCTGAGACGAACACGAGACAAGATAAGTGATATTTAAGATGTTTAACTCCCGAAGACATTTAACCCTCGCCGGCCGAGGGGGGGTTGGTGCCACCCCCGGACGTTTTTTTTCGCGATTTACGCCGAAGTACGCCGAAAATTTCGGCGCAAGCCGTCGATTTACGCCGAAGTACGCCGAAAATTTTCGGCGCAAACGCCCAACTACGCTCGAGTTCTCGACGAAGGTGTGCATTTTTTCCAGTCGGGGTTCGCTATCACAAAATCTCCTGACTCACAAACTCACTGGCATGTTCCATAACGTAACCTTTATTTTGTTGCCCGGCTCTGATCAGCAGTAGTGCCCAGCCGGTGACTGACGCCTGACGGGGCCTTCAACAGGCGTGGTGCAAGCACGGCCGATGGGATCGGGCAGATACCAGGCCACGCGGGACCGATTGCCAGCGTCCGCTCACAAACCACACGCCGGAAATACAGGAATCACAACGGTCAATACGCACACGATAGCATACGTTATCTGAACTAGGGGATCCGACAATCCATAACCTCACTCTGGATCGGTGAACTGTTCCCGCCGTGGGAGAGTCGCAATCAGGTTCACTGAACATGACTTAAATACCCTGAGACGAACACGAGACAAGATAAGTGATATTTAAGATGTTTAACTCCCGAAGACATTTAACCCTCGCCGGCCGAGGGGGGTTGGTGCCACCCCCGGACGTTTTTTTCGCGATTTACGCCGAAGTACGCCGAAAATTTCGGCGCAAGCCGTCGATTTACGCCGAAGTACGCCGAAAATTTTCGGCGCAAACGCCCAACTACGCTCGAGTTCTCGACGAAAGTGTGCATTTTTTCCAGTCGGGATTCATGACATCTCAATTTCGATTTTAAAAGAATTGGAATGGTTGAGCTGCTTGGTTCCTAGCTAGCTAAGTAAAGGCAATTTCTGGGTTAAAAGCAGTATTCTGAAAGGATGAATTGGTGGTTACTTATTAATCTGCCGCCTTGAGTATCCAGAAAATGGAGCTTTTTACGCAGCATCACAGATCAAGATGCTCCACTCGGCACCCTACCACAGCAATATCGCTTATACCCAGTTGCCCAATACTCAATAGTAGTTTGAGCCTCAATTTGAATGTGCGCTGTGTGCTTACAGCACAAGCCACAAGTGGATAAGGCATCCTCCTGGTAATTTAGTGGCAGTGAATTCATCCCTACCTAATTGGTAGTCACTGTGCCCTGTGGTCAAGCTTCTGAGAACCAGGGCTGCGGAGTCGGTCGGAGTCGACAGTTGTGACCGGAGTCGGAGTCAGAGTCTGAGTCGATTTTAGAAACCCAAGCCGGAGTCGGAGTCACAGAAAATCTGTCGACTCCGCAACCCTGCTAGGTCTACGGAGTCGGAGTCGGAGTTGGAGTCGGTCGGAGTCGACAATTCTGCCCGGAGTTGGAGCTGGTTTTTGAAAGCCGGAGTCGGAGTCGCCGAAAATCCATCGACTCCGCAGCCCTGCTGAGAACCTCCAAGTTTACTTTGTTTAACCCACTTTCCTGCATTGAGTTAGTTGGCATCTTGGCAGGGAGTCATTTTTCGATATCAATATGGAAGGACTATTTTGATTATGCTACCTACCTGATAATCATTAAATTTTTCATTTAAATGATTGTTGAACTTGATGTCATTGCCAGCAAGGTCTGGTGGTGGGTTCTCAGCACCAGTCGCTTTAAGCACTGCTTAGAAAGACTTGAGGGTTCACAGTCACACTAGCCTAGCCACTCATATATTCATTTGAACTTTTTCAAATGCATCACTCTCCAACCTATTCCTCACTCCACTCCATGACATGTCAAATTTTAAAATGGCATATAGAACAAGTAACTTTTGGAAAGCTTCACTTAACACCAAAGTTGAATTGTCTTCCCAGCCTAAAATCTCTGATAATGTCTATGCTATGCATTGCTGAATGCAGTTAGATGGTGACAATGTCCAGTATCCTAAGTACCTGGTTTAGTGTGGCTTCTTAATCTCTCATGCATTATTCAATTACATAGAATGTTAAACATTGCGCAGTAACATGAGCCAATGTTTCAGAGCACCTGATCCCACCAGTACTCCAGCTATGAAGATTGAGGAGGTCAAAAGCACCACCAAGGCACAGCGTGTCTCCAGTCACAGCCATGTCAAGGGACTGGGTCTGAATGAGGCTGGTCATGCCGTCTCATGTGCTGCAGGTCTTGTGGGGCAGGAGGATGCACGGGAGGTGAGCGAGAGGATTTTTCTACCTTCTACATGACTTGTTTGAGTTGGACATGCTACCTCTGCAAGACCCCTATTATGTAATTTTCTAACACTGCCATTTGTACACAGGCCTGTGGTATTATTGTGGACCTGATCAAGTCAAAGCGGATGGCGGGCCGGGGTATTCTACTGGTCGGCCCGCCGGGTACCGGTAAAACCGCAGTTGCGCTGGCTGTGTCGCAGGAGCTCGGATCAAAGGTGAGCGCGACACAGCGGTCCCCGCCGCTTACACTTGTAGCTAGTGTGATGAATTTGAAACCATAATTGTCTCGGAAATGACGATCGTAAGTCCTGGTTCACGGAGAGTCTGAGAGTTGCGTCGCGCTGCATGTGCGCTTTTTATTCCTATGACAGCGCACTTGGTTTGTAGAGTGATACGTCCCCATGCCGACGGTGAATCCGTCCGATGAACCGGCCGTGGTCCTTTGCCGCTCACCGCTGTCGCGCCACTCGGCAGGTACCGTTCTGCCCTATGGTCGGCTCCGAAGTGTTTAGCTCTGAGATCAAGAAGACTGAGGTGCTGATGGAAAACTTCCGGCGCGCCATCGGCCTTCGCATCAAAGAGATGAAGGAGGTGTATGAGGGCGAGGTGACCGAGCTGTCCCCGCAGGAGACCGAGAACCCCATGGGAGGTGAGTGGAAAGAAACCGATAACCCCATGGGGCGTAAGTGCCGATTGGAGGGTGGAGAAGGTGGAGCCCCATGGTAGTGGAGAAGGGAGACTGCTGCGAACCCCAAGAGCGTTGAAATGATGTAATGTAGCCCCCGTTGGTAACGGCATGGATGAGATAATAATGGATTGGTGTCTTCACAGTTTTTGGCGACATTGAGCTCAGGCCTGCCATCTAGCGGGAGAATTATCGTAAGTTAGGAGCAAGCCGAGTGAACGCCGCTGATTAGCATTGTGACACACGGGAGTGTGGTGCAGTAGCAGGCTTGTTGTGCAATTTTTCAAAAGGTTATGTCTTTATGTGTCAGTAAAAGCGAAGAAATTAATAGATTTATGTGCAGGGTTAGTAAGAAGATAAGCAGTTCCATGTCATTTCCTCATTAAATCGTGAAACAGGGAGTTATTGGAGACTTCGCCAGCACGTGTCGTTTTCGCTATTTTTCACATGAGTCGTTACTTGGCCTAAATCAAACAAATTGTCCGATCAAAGAACAAATCGAACGTAAGTACTATCTATAAGTCTAATGAAAAACTTAAACGGAACTGCTAACGTCATTGCCGCTCAATATGTCATTCAAGACGCTCTATGAAAAGGACCCAACCAGTGCTGCGTAGTCGATGAAATTTCAGTGACTCTGGCTCCAACTCCGATTCTGGTATCCAAATATCGACTCCGACTCCTCGGGCAGAACTGTCAATTCACACAGACTCTGACTCTGACTCCGACTCTGCAGACCTGGTAAGTCTGTGGAGTCCATGACGTTTCGGTGACGTTCGACTCATACTCCGACTACAGCTTTTAAAAATCAACCGACTCCGAGTCGGAACAGAACCGCTGGCTCTGACTACAACTCCGCAGCCCTGGCCCAAGATAGCCGCCTAAAACAACTTTGACGTGTGATCTTCTTCGTACATTGTTAATGTTATTTCAAACAACGAGTGGAAAAGGGAGACGAAGCCTTCACAAACAGGGATCTCCTGTTGCGGGTCAATCAGCTGCTGGAATAGAAAGGCATAAACACCACGCATCTCTTTTCATCGTTTTCCTAACGACTCTGCACCAATGTAAGCACTGATCAATTCAGTGCGAGCATCGATGTGACATTTGTGTACCAAGTTTGAGTGTTATCCGCCCAGCCGTTCTTGAGATATGGAAGCGGCACCCCGCACGTGTGCACGTGCAGTAGCACCCCCATAGTGACACATGGAAATGCATTGGCCACTGGGTGCCTAACAATTGACGAAGTTTTACTGTAATGGGCCCAGCCATTGCGGAGTTACTTTATGTGGAACAATTTCGACACCCCTAAGTTGGCACGTGGCACGTGCCGTAACATTAAAGGGACCCTCCCACCTTAACATTAGATTTGAGTTGAGATAGCCAAAATGGGGTCCCTGGCTCACAATTACCGGTTTCGGCACTCACAACATCGAGAAATGCCTTAAGGGTGCGATGTTAATGTTAAGTCAATGGGAGGTGAAAAACCGCAATATCTTGAAAACCGATAGAGATATTAGCCTCAAATTTGGCATGTACCTGCTCCATGGGTATACAAAGCCTACTTTGGACAAGTTGTTTGATTCCGTGCAATATTCACGTTGATATTGCACGATAAAGGTGGAAAAACTGAAAAGTTTGAGCCGAAATTCATTAAATGTCATTCAAACTAGGCGCAAAAAATGAATGGCACCCGCATCTCCTCAACGTGGACAACAATTCTATGTACTCCGATTTTCCATTTTCTTTTTGCAATGTTGCAAAAAATGAAAGTAAAACTTTGCTCATCTTTCATTTTTTGTGTGAGGCATAAAATAAAAAACCGGCTACATAGAAATGGGCACAGAACATTTCTTCACAAGAAAATGAAGTTTAATTTTCAGAAATATCTGAACTGTGACTGGAATTAAGCCCGATTCATATCCACTTTTTGACGGTTTTGATGGTTCAAGGGAGTGCCGCTAGATGTCGTATGGGTCTCCGCCTCGGTCCCTGCCGTTCCCCCATGTAATAAAACCCGCGAGTCGCGCCGACCGGCGGGGAGGGACTGTCAACACACGGTGATTTACGGTCTGGGGTTCCCGCGTGTGCCGGTGGCCGTGAAACTCTGCCGGAACAGAAGCGAGCTCGGGGTTGTCGGAGGAAAATACGGATGGTGGGTGGATTGAATGAGATTAGTGGATTTTATATATAAGTAGTATATCGATAATTCGATACACAGGTTACCAACTACCAACCTTGGCGCCTTTACTTTACCTTTTCCCCTAAATAAACATGGGTATTGCATGTGAACTGTGATGGCATGCTTGAATTGGATTGTGGCCAGTCTGTCCATATGTCAGTAATATTACAATCGCATAGTACCTACTCTGAAGCTGCATTTGTATAGCGATCACAATTCACAACACGTCGACAAATAATGTGGTATCGGTATATAGCAACCACATGGTGAAGCTCAAGACCAAGAAGGAAGAACCAGTACCACTATGTATTGTAATACTCACGGACAGTAATAAAACAGTGCATCAGTAGTTGTACATCAGCGATGCATCACACATAAATCCCCAGTATGGCGTCTGCTCTGCTGACACAGTGCAGAGGCGAAGCCAATGAAAACATACCAGTATAACCGGTACATAATATTACATCCATGGCATGCATTGATTTGACATATTGCATTCGTACATGACACGAAACTGACACAGAACAAGGAGCACAAAATGAGATCGGCATGATGCTGAGCGAATGCTTCAGTTTTGACACGATTGCTGAAATTACCTTAGCTGATGCGTGGTCGACATCTGAGCCAATGATATGTTACATCGAAGTCTCATTCACTGTTGTGAGTCGCTCCCTTTTTTACCCTTTTTGCCATGATGGGATACCGGATGAGTGACAAAAAAAGTTTCAGCTTGTTAGATGTGTGGCGGGGCTAGTCGCCTCATCCTGTATGTTTTTTTTTCTTCTTCACGTCTTTGCCCTTGGGCTCCCTATACCTTGACCGCTCACGGAACGGCATGTGTCGTGCTTTGCGGGGATCTACGATTTCAGGCACGATGCACTCATCATAAAATGCCTTCACTTTTTCCAGTCTGTTTGCGATGAACGTTTCGTCAGCAGCTATGCGCTGACATGACGTTTCGTTTGGTGTCCAGACAAAAAAGTCACAGAACCTTGCACCAGTGCAAGCCAACTGGCACTGAACTTTGGTGTAATATTGGTGACTCTTTTTTAGCTCAAGTTTGTCGTCAAGAAAAAAAAAACTAGTTTGTCCACTAGAAGACGCTGCCAGTCTTTCCAGTGAAGTGTTCTCTGCACTTTTGGGACATTTCACTTCTACTATGATGTCATCAGAAACGATTCCATCAGGAGTGGCGGCCAAAAATGGATGCTTCGGGTGCACTACCAGCCCATCTGGTCTTTTCACTTCAGTGTTTGTTTGCTTTTCATATGCTTGTATACTTATAGCTAGCTCCTCGTTGACGCGGCCATACTGCAGAGCAGGTGTATCTAAATCTTTTGTTGTATCGTAAAGAAGTCTGTTCATGATGTTTTTGTTTGACGTTGAGTCTCGCATATTCGCTATTTGGTGAAAGGTTGTCGCAGTGACGCGTTTGCGTCGCTCGCGGTGCCACTCTTCCTTGTCATCAGCAGTGTTCTCAGCTGAAACTTTGCATGTAGGTAGGCAGTAGGCACCCACTAGGCAATGCATTTTCATGTCCCACAGTTCATGTGGGGTGCTGCTGCACGTGCGCACGTGCAGGGGTCGATTCCAGATCTCGAGAACGGCTGGACCGATTGCGCTCAGATTTGGTTAGCGGTTAGGGATCCGTTAGTAGGGTGCCGTGCAAACGTCAGTTGGGACCCATCCATTTTGCACGTGCGCACGTGCAGGGTGCCGCTGCTAAATTTTGAGAACGGCTGGGTCGATTGCGCTCAAATATGGCACACTGCTAGAGACCGGTTGGTAGGGTACCGTGCACAAGTCAGTTGGAGGTACCCCCTCACAATTTCCCACGTGCAAGGCCCACCCTCTCGCTCGCTCCGTTTGTCGTCCTATAACCCTCGCCGGCCGAGGGGGGAGGGGGCGGGTGCCGCCCCCCCCATAGGGTTTTTTTCGCGATAGCTCCGAACACGCTGGCGAGAGAGAGCTGAAACTGGGCATACCTGACCTTTGATCCAAGCCGCATCTTTTGACACCAACCGCATTTTTGGGTCAGGTCAGGTCACTGACCTATGACGTCATAAGTGAACCTCTGCACGGTCTTCAGATGTCGCAACTTCGCAACGCCCTCACTGCCAGAGGAGATGTCACAGGGAAATGAAACTTGCAGGATCTAGTATCCATTATGAGTCCCACAACTTGTATATCTCGGATTTTTCCTAAAGGTCATATGAGGTCAGGTCATTTTCGTGACCTCACCATTATAAGTCAATGGGGAAAAATGAAAACTGCTATTCTGGCGCCGGGAACGATCTCCAACTATCTCAAGCACACAGAATCGTGATTTGATGCACTCCTTGCAAGGTTAGATGCGTCACTTTTGCAATGTTGACCTTGCGTGACGTCATTTATGACGTCATCAAGGTCAAATTAGTTTTTCGTCAATAACTCTTGATCAAATTGAGCTAGCGAGTCGGGGAAAGCACCAATGGACTCAGGAGGAAGGCCTGCCGAATCGAATGATATGCGACATGACCTCTTTCGACCAACTTCGTGACCTGGGGGTGCTGACCTGACCTTGACCTGAGGTCAGCACCCCAAGTTGACCTGACCCGGACAAAAAGTATATCATTCGACGCGCCTGAGCGAGGCGAACACGATGCTGCCAAAATCGGCGCTCTGCGGCCGTTTTTCGCGAAGTTATTCACCAAAAACTGAACCGTACCTTGGGGCACTTGACCTGACCTCAGAGGTCACCGGTTGACCTAGGACCTTAAAATCGGGTACCAATCTCTGCGTCTCGTAACGGCGCACACGCTCGTTTTTTCCGCGACGCGCTAGCTCCACCAGGGGCGAAACGGCGAGGGGGGGTCGTACCCCCCCCTCGGCCGGCGCGTATGTAGAAAACCAATAGGTCCGGCAAGGGATAAAGGTCAAGCTACACGGGACACTTTTTCGGTTTTTGATTTTTCGGTTTTTCGCTTTTTCGGTTCGATTTATCGCTTTTTGGCGTCGGTTTTTCGATTTTTCGATTTATCGCTTCGATGACTTGAGTTTTTCGAGTTTCATTGTTTTTTGTTTAGTTGGAACGCGCTGTGCAACCGTCAGCTCTTTTTATTTTGTTTGCAACCAGTGCAATGCTTTGGTCGCAGTTTTGCCTAGGGGCTTTAGGGGTCTGTTCTGTCGTCTGTTTTAACAGATGGAAATTACTTAAACTAGATCTCGTCTGCTTTTTAGTAGGAAATTGGCTTGACTAAACTTCCAGCAGCTACTAACCGGCGCCCCGCTGGCAAAAACGTCATTTGACCTCAGTTGACCTCATTTGACCTGACCCATAGATAAGTACACCAAACAAAGAAGCACCAAGTGACCTGCTGTCAAGTACTGTGGTTTCAAAGAACAAAAGTGATAGAACGAAGCGGATATCTCCAGTATTTTCCGAATTTAGTATTTTCCCATAGTATTTTCCCATTACGACGTAATGACCTCTAACTGACCTCAGGTCAGTGACATCAAAAAACCCGAAGTATATGTTATACAACTCGGTGAACTTAGCACACCCTGAAACTTTGAAGGAAATCAGTCAAAAACTGTGAGTTGGACAAGTGCAAAAATAAAATTGAAATTTGACCATGACCTTGTACCGGTTTTTCTGACCTGGTAACCTGACCCAAGGCCACCCGGACCTGAAACTTTCAGGTCATATGTCAAAAGGTTGCCCCATAGGCCGTGCCAAATTAAGCGCCGCTGCGCAACGCGCCGCCGTTTTTACGCTGTCTTCCAAAAACCTTAGGGGGGGGGTCGCATCGACCCCCCCCCCCTGCCAGGGCGAGGGTTAACGTTCTTTTGCTAGCATGTCCTCAGAGTTGACGTAAGGTCCACCGTTTATCCTGCAGGGGCATAAACGGCACCCACCAGGCAATGCATTCCCATGTGTTGCGGTTAGGGTGCTACTGCACGTGCGCACGTGCAGGGGGCGTTTCCAGATCTCGAGAACGGCTGGGCCGATTGTGCTCAAATTTGGTACACGGCTGGGGACCGGTTAGTAGAGTGCCGTGCAAAAGTCAGTTTGGACCCGTTTGCACGTGCACACGTGCAGAATGCCGCTTCCAGATCTCAGGAACGGCTGGGCCGATTGCGTTCAAATTTGGCACACCGCTAGCGACCGTTTAGAAGGGTGCTTTGCACAAGCCCCGTTGGAAGTATCCTCTCGCCCTTCCGCACGTGCAGGGCTCACTATCTCGCTCGCTCGTTCTTCGCCCAAAAGGCGTTTTACTGGTAGTACAGGGTTGGGCAGATAAATTGGGACAAAATACGTATTTGCATTTAAAACGCCGTAGTTTAGAAATTTGTAAACATAGGCATTTCAAATTTGGATCACATATTGTCACACCAATTTTACACATTTATCACTAAATATGGTCACCGTGGTCCACCTGCATCAGTCCTTGTCGGTGCCTGGACTGACTGCACGCGCGGCGAGATCTTCCGTCTGAAATGGCTCGTAATTGTAGCCGACTGGCACTGCTGAGGCTCGTCACAGTCACATGGGGACGTTCGTTAGACTCACCCGCAAAAACGCCCCAGCAACCAGAACTTGTGTGGGCTGAGGTTTAATGAGGAAGGGGGCATTTTCCCTTGGGTACAGTTTGCGGGATCCTCCGTTTCAGGAGATTTTGTATTTAATTTACTGTATGCCGGGGAGCTGACTTCTCGAAGAGCATCACCCCATGCAGGATGTTGCCTTCTTCCATCTTGTTGGTTTGAACTGCCGGAATAATGGTTAGGTACCCTTTAATGGCGAACCCCCTCCCGATTCCGTAAAATAAGGGGGCCCCACGTGACCGTCTGAAGTCACCGAGTAGAATGCCATCACCGATGTCTGCTGCATGTTTTTTTGGAACTAATATCACGTCTTCTGGGCTGGTTGCGATGTTACATGGTGTTTGCAGTTGTTCATATGCTCGGTTATGGGGACACCATCGTCAGAAAAGACCTGCACGTGCTTGCTCGCTTCTCCAAGCCCTTCAAGAGGAAACAATCTTTTTAACGTCACAGCTGCTTCAACATCTATGTTAACAGGTTTTGATATGCATAAATGCATAAGAGTACATGTTTTGAGGTGCTGGTATATCGCTTTCTCATGGCGCGGCTACCTTTTCTGTAAGCTCGCGCCACTGTTTTCGCGAGGATCCTCTGACTTAACTGAATTTTGCCTTTTAACCCCCCTGAAAAACCGGGGGAGCGGCCGGTGTCAACGCAATAGGTATGTAATATTGAGTCAATATCATCTCTTCCTCCAACGTTTACGTCTATTCGATACACACCGCTTTCAGCCATTTGATGGAGCATAATTAGAATATTGGCATGCATGTGGGCGCGGACTAAGTTGATAGTGGCTTGCTTAAGGCCACGTTCTGTGACCAGCCGACTCAAAATTACAACGCAACCTGCATAACATGGAAAAATATTCATTAGCCTATATTTATGTTCAAAAATTATCTTTATCACTCAAAAAATAGTCGTTTTAGAGGAAGTTGAAATTTTTCCCAATTTATCTGCCCAACCCTGTATGTGTAGCAATGTGAATCTAGCACTGCATTTCACTAAAACAATGCCGTCAGGTCAATCATGTGAGGATATCAGACGCATTCTTGTGACTAGAGCTGCGGCAGACTCAATATTTGATAACATGTATCCATATCAAATAATCACTTTCGTTCTAACTGGGTAGGACGTACCTACACCAGGCTAAGGACGGCACCGGCAAGGCCTGTCGAGAGACGTGTTCCTTCCGCGCGGTGTTTACACACCATGATCTCCCTCAGTCGGCGCCGCCCGCCGCGCCGGCGCAGTAACCAAACGTCGTTATCGTAAGGGCCGTGAAATGAGGAGGGGGAGAAGGTCATTAACGTGGGAAAAAAACGCTCTACCCTGGTGACATCTACTGGCTGAGAATCGGAATAGTAGTGCTCGGACACCAACGCTGAGCGGAGCCACCTCCGAAGTTAACGCACCCTTAAATCGGAAATATTGAATTTTAAAATTGCAGCATTTTGATTCAGAGGGGCTAATGCTTAGGAATACCCCTCTGAATGTGTGACGTCAGCGCAGATATCTAACGATTTTTAAATGTTTGACTAAAATGTTTTGTAGCATGCGGTGGTATATGCTATTTGCGCGCAGCATCTGCCGCAAACGCCGCACTTCTAAAATAAAGTCGCTAGAAACAGCGGAGATCCCTAAAAAGTAAACAAAAGTAAAAGTCTAATATCTTGAAAACGGGTGAATATTTTTCGGTGAAATTTGGTAGATATTCGTCCTCGCTCTTTCTGAACCGAGCGACATCACTTTCATGCCAATTCATAAACTTTTTTGAAGGTGGGAGGGTCCCTTTAACTAAGATGAAGAAAATCGGGCGAAATTCGGAGAAGAAGGAATAAGCCTACCAAATATGTATGACATATTGTCAAACTGCTGTACCATTGCGAGTAAATGACCATATAAAAGGTCGTACAAGCCGATGGGACTGGGTGTTTCAATGCACACCGTCTTACGCATTTTATTTTCGGTATTACCTAAAGACTGCTTGATGTTTTTGGCTTTCAAGTATTTAAGACCTTTTTTGTCGTCTCAGGTCCAGTAAGATTACCTCCAACTCGTGGGAATATGCACTTCAAGCCAACTAACACACCACACCCACGTGTGTCATAATGCTGAGAGATGGCGTTCACTCGGCTTGCTCCTAACTGACGACAATTCTCTCGCTAGATGGCAGGCCTGATCCCAATGTCGCGGATCCCAATGTTAATTTTCACGAGACACCAATCCAGTGTTATATCATCCATGGTAACGGTAATGTTTGTAGACCCAAAAAGTTACGACAAGTCAATGACGTGAAGCCTTGTACCGCTGGAAATAAGTGTGGAAACCCCATACGGAAAGTCCCGTACTGCTGGCCAACCGTTTCATATCAATCGATCCGGCCTGGAGATAAGCTACCAAGATATTTAGTGGCATTATGCCGTGATAGTCCTTTTACTATATGACCCATTAATCGTTCGTTAGTACCGTTCATCGGCTGCCTCACTTTTCTAGTCTCGATTTTACCCGCAGTCGCTCCTCCGTACCCAGACCACTCGCCTGCCCCGTTTATCCGCTTGTTCGCCCATTCGTTACGTCGGTTACCCGTTTGATTTACCCATCCGTCCCCCGCCACTCGGCTTTGTCCAGGATACGGCAAAACAATCAGCTCTGTGGTGATCGGATTGAAGACGGCCAAGGGCACCAAGCAGCTGAAGCTGGACCCCTCCATCTACGAGTCGCTTCAGAAGGAGAAGGTGGAGGTCGGCGACGTCATCTACATCGAGGCCAACAGCGGCTCGGTGAAGCGCCAGGGACGCAGTGACACGTTCGCGTCAGAGTATGACCTGGAGGTGAGCGGGGATGGGATAGTGGTGGTCAAGATTACTTTACTACTCAGGTTGGTTCACTCAAGATTCCTTTACTACTCAGGTTGGTTCACTAGGGAAATAAAGGCGCCGTGGTGACGTTATCAGGGGAAATCCTTCACATTCAAATGAATGGGTAATTTGAGTTGCTGATTTTGGCTCGATATAGTCCTACTTTTTTAGTTTCAGTCCCATTTATCGTAATGAGGCGAATTCGTTGTTACATTGGTACATCTTTTGATGACATATAAGCCTTGATTTTTTATCCAGCTTGCCCGAAAGATGATGAAATTTGCATGCATGCCTATGGGTAAGGGAGATTCTGCCGCCGTGGTGACGTCACGGTAAAGGGATTCTGGAGCTCGTGAACGGGGGCTGGGTTCACTAGGGAAATAAAGGCGCCGTAGCTACGTCACGGATTTGGTAGCAATCTGGTAGCAATTTTTGCAGACATCAATGGCGCACGTGTTGTTTGATCGTCGCCAATACTATTTTACTGCACTATTTTGTTATTTCACTGCAATGTATTGTACATTACATTTGAAAATTAAAATAAAGAAATATTCGTAACCCAGCAAGTCAGTTATTCTTTGAGGCAGCACTCTGTCAGCATTGAGCCTTCAGAATGTGTTATTTGATAGACTTTCCCACATTTTCTACTCTTGTGGAAAACTTTCTTAGTCATCAAAAATGTATGCACTTATGAATAATTAGAACTTCATTTTCAAAGTTTTATAGAAATAAGATTTCACATTACATTATCATAAGGCTACCTGTCCATTTCGTCCAACCAATTAAATATTTATCCAGCAGAAGGCAGGTACCTCTGAGAAGGTACTGATATCTCTTATCTACACCAATATTTCAGGAAAATGACAGAGACTGAGAAGCTATTAAAACTCCATCGTATGAAAGGGATGTTATGGCTTATGCACATTGAAAAACATCAGATAATGCTTTTGAACCATCTCATTCACCAGCACACATCAATCCGGCTCCTGGCTTCTGTCAAGGAAACATTCCAAAATAATGCATTATTTTATTTCATTGACCACCTTGCAAAAGACAAACAGCAAACACATCACCACCAAAAACAAAAATAGTCAACAGGTAGGTACTAGCTGATCTAGCCGTGCTGTGTCATGTGCCTTTGAAAAACTTGAGCAGTCAGGGTTGAATAAACACCCCAAACTTAGCCATTCATGCATGAACAAGTGCAAATTCTGGTCGAGCATTTTAATAAAAATGAAACTAACAGCATTGTAGGTTACAATTATAAAAAAGACAATTACAAAAAAAAACAGCAGAGCTTACTCTACAAGGCATAACCATTAATTTTATAACTGACATCCAAATTCGCATCTCCGAAGTTTAACCCACCTACCAGCCACCTGCACATTTCTGCGCACATGTGCTGCGCAGTGTGCACAGTCACTACACTTTACACAATTATGAGAATTAAAATAGTTTTAAACAATCAAGCAAGTCAGGACCGGTATGCAGATTCACAAGTTCTCTCAACATCTTCAATTACCAACAATCAAGAGCACCTTGTGATCTCAGTAACTCCGCAGATCCATCTTCTGTTTTCCATTTTCAGTTTTCAATTGAAATATAAGTTCCATCTGGGAGACACATGTTGCATCATTATGTTTTAACAATTATTATGCTTGAACTTTTGATTTTTCATGTGAACTTCACTTCAAAAGTTGATTCAATATATAAAGTTCATATAATTTGTATAATGCTACGATCACGGCGCACCAAATCACAGATAACTTGAAAATAACCAAGCAAAAGCCACATTCTTCAGCAAACTATGAGAGCTATCTGATCCATGCTGCGTTGAAATAATTGAAAATCGCCAAAATCAGTCAAAATATGACAATTAAATTAATATAAACTTCACAAAACTCTGATTTGTGAGGCAATGCGCAACAGAAATGCGAGGGAATATGGTAGTAATCTGGTAGCAATTATGAAGGATTTCCCCTGTCGCTGATGAAAAAACACTTGAAACAAATTTTTCAACGCAGAGGAAATCCTTCATTATGAGTTGCAGGGACCATTTGATTGGCCCATTTTAGATAAATAAAGGCCGAATGTTTCGATTTCAACCCCATTTATCGTAATGAGACGAATCCATTGGCTTAGTGGTACGTCTTTTGAACACATGTAGGCCTTAGATTTCTCCTTAGCCCGCCTCAAACACACCATGCTTTGCATGCATTTCTATGGGTGAAGGAAAATTCATGCGCCGTGATGACGTCACGGTAAAGGAGTTCTGAAGCTCGTGAACGGTAGTAAAGTAATCTTGCGTGAACGGGGGCTGGTGGTGGTGGTGGGTCGAGAAGAAGTTTGGGTACTAAAGTGAATGAGCTGATGCGTATTGTGTTGCTATTTTTTCATTTTGCGTAATTGTGGAAAGAGAATGCGATGTTCCATTGACTTAATAGTTGAATTCTAAGAGACTTTTGGACGGCTGCTGTTTGGGACGCGACCCAAAGCCAAATAAATATCATCGGGGCTGGTTGTCATTGTCCTTTCCCATCCTTCGTGGTGTCTCTGATTTCCTTCTTGTATGTCCCGATGCTGCTGCGCTGCACCCCTCACCCAACTATGCAGTTCAATGACACATTTCCCCCTCTTCAGGCAGAGGAGTACGTACCGCTACCCAAGGGTGACGTGCACAAGAAGAAGGAGGTGATCCAGGACGTCACTCTGCACGATCTGGACGTGGCGAACGCCAGGCCCCAGGGCGGCCAGGACATTCTCTCCATGATGGGACAGCTGATGAAACCCAAGAAGACCGAGATCACAGGTGAGGCCGGAACCGGGGCTTGGCGGCAAAAGGGGTTCGTTTGAAGGGATACGGTGGGGTACAGGTGTGATATGTTGCTGGTTAGGTAAACTAGGTACTAGATAGGTGACCAAGTATTCCCAGTGCAATCTGATTGGAGTGGTTATGTGAGATTTGGAGTCGACCGGGAAGCCTGATCGATAGGTAGATGGGCTGCATTGGCAGGAAAGATTGTCGTATCGGTGGGTGCTTTTGATTTACAGAAAATTTGATAGAGCTGGGAAGCTTTTGGTCTCCTAATCCGTCACTGTTCACGCGATCCTTTCCTAATAAGCTGTCCCCATCCGACAGACAAGCTCCGACGTGAGATCAACAAGGTGGTCAACAAGTATATCGACGAGGGTATCGCCGAGCTGGTGCCCGGCGTCCTGTTCGTCGACGAGGTCCACATGCTGGATATCGAGTGTTTCACCTACCTGCACCGGGCGCTGGAGATGACCATCGCGCCCATCGTCATCTTCGCCACCAACCGAGGCAACTGCGCCGTCAGGTGAGAAAACTTGGGTGTGGATGTAGTCGCTTTTGTTTCGAGAAATGCTAAGGTTGACCGCGCTGGACGGTGCACATAATGCAGCAATCCACGTGGAACTGATCCTGAGACGGCTGAGGCCTGAGACAGCAAATGACGGTGACGGGGATCCGACATGGTTCGTGGCTATCTCTGGATATATGGGCAATATATGAGCAGGGTTAGTGAAAGCTATTTAATTGTGTCGAGAAACGTGACAAGGACTGACGACTGCCTGACCGTGTCTGACCAACCCTGTGCTGACTGCCCCATCAACACAAGGTTATCGCCTGCTTTGTGTAATTATCAGTGTCATGATCGAGTGGTGCGATCTTGTCGCCCCATCTGACCTCCCCCCTCCTCTCCCTCAGGGGCTGCGAGGACGTGGTGGCGCCGCACGGGATCCCGCTGGACCTGCTGGACCGGCTGCTGATCGTGCGCACGCTGCCCTACTCGCAGGAGGAGATGGTGAAGATCATCCAGATCCGCGCGCAGGCCGAGGGCCTCACGGTGGAGCCGGCTGCGCTGCAGGCGTTCGGCCAGGTGGGCGCCGACACCACGCTCAGGTACGCCGTCCAGCTGCTCACGCCCGCCAACCTCACCGCCAAGGTGAACGGCAGGTCCACCATCACGGCTGACGATCTCAAGGAGGTGTCCGAGCTCTTCCACGACGCCAAGGCGTCGGCCAAGGTGCTGGCGGCCAACAGTGACAAGTTTATGAAGTGATTAGGGAGGTAGGACGGGTCATTCAGGGCCCTCGGGCCACATTGGTGCATCTCAAGTCATCGTTCAATTATGCTTGCTTTGTCGCTCATTCCATGCTGTTCCAAGACAATATATTGGAAATTGATCTGGCTCTGTGCTAAGGGTACCCGACAAACCTATCGATAAGTTTTATTTTCTTCCCAGTCTCCCAATGCTGCAAATGAATATCCTCAATGCGCTGGTGCGCCCCGCCACACCAAGCCATTAGCATCATTATCATCGTGAATGGGTAGAGGTGGTGTTGTGGTGTGTCAGTGTTGGTGGGTGATTGGATTGCCTGATAGTCTTCTTCGCTATGACCCAGTGTAAAACGACGATAAAGATTTGGCAGCGGTGGGATTCGAACCCACGCCTCCGAAGAGACTGGTGCCTTAAACCAGCGCCTTAGACCGCTCGGCCACGCTACCAGATGGTCGTGAGTGATTCAATAGCGGTTCTGTATAGTGGACGTTACTGCTGGTTGTACATAGAGCTGCTGGTTTTTAGTGCCGAGCGGGCACATTTATTCACCACTGAAGCTGCGCCACTGCATAGGGGCGAAAATTGAATCGCACGTGCCACGTGCCACGAGGTTTTAAGCGAGTAGCGACCGATGCCATCAGGTAGATCGCTTGCGGGAGCCTATACCCTGAACTTACGGAAATTGAGCGATTCGTCTAAGCCCCTGTCAAGTTGTACTGATTCGCTGCCAGCCATGCAAAACATAGCCCGGAGAAGGACCGCTCCGGTTGTTTTTCAATAGAAAAACACAATTCTAACGAATAGTGTTTGTCTTTTCAAACAACCTGCGGTTATGCCCAGCAGGGGCGGATCCAAGGGGGGGGGGTCACATGGGTTATGCCCCCCCCCCTTGAGGCCCGGGGGCCCAAAGACCTGCCAGGGGCACCACCGGCCTATCAGGGGTATCACAGTCCTGACAGGGGCACCACAGGACCGCCAGGGGCACCACAGGCCTAGCAGGGACACCACGGGCCTGGTGCCCGTGGGCCCTGACAGGACTGTAACGCCCCTGACAAGCCTGAAGTGTCCCCGGCAGGCACGTGGTGCCCCTGACAGGCTTGTAATGCCCCTGGAAGGACTGTGGTGCCCCTGGGCCCTGACAAGCTTGAGGTGCCCCTGACAGGCCAGTGGTGCCCTTGCTAGGCCTGTGGTGCCCTTGCTAGGCCTCTGGTGCCCCTGACAGGCTTGTAATGCCCCTGGAAGGACTGTGGTGCCCCTGGGCCCTGACAAGCTTGAGGTGCCCCTGACAGGCCAGTGGTGCCCTTGCTAGGCCTGTAGTGCCCCTGGCAGGCCTCTGGTGCCCCTGCTACCCCTGCGCCCGGAGGGGACTATGGTGTCCCTGAAAAGCCTGAAGTGCCCCTCTCGACAGGCCCGTGGTGCCCCTGGGCTCTGACAGGCCCAAGTTACCCCTGCGAGGTCGGTGGTGCTCCTGGCAGGCCTCTGGTGCCCCTGGCAGGTCTGAGGTGCCCCTGGCAGGCCTGTGGTGCCCCTGGCAGGCCTGTGTTGACTGGTGCCCCTGCTAGGCCGCTGGTGCCCCTCACAGGCCTGCGGTGCCCCTGGAAGGACTGTGGTGCCCCTGCCCCTAGGGGTGCTCATGGGCCCAACAGGCCCGTTGTGCCCCTTCCTGTCGTGTATACTTGCTAGACCTGTGGTGCCCCTGCTTCCTGGCGGGCCTGTGGCGCCCCTACAAGGCCGTCCCAGTAAACATGCCGACGTCGGCCCGACGTCGGCCGACGTCGGGGTGACGTCGGCAACTCGGCATCAGCATGCCGACGTCGGCCCGACGTCGGTCCAACCTCGGCACGACGTCGGCTGGATGTCGTATATGCCCGCATGTTCCGACGTCCAGCCGAGGTCCAGCCGACGTCGGGCCGACGTCGGACCGAGATCAATTGCTGAGGTCCAGCCGACGTCGGGCCGACGTCGGGGCGACGTCGGACCGACATCGGCCGCTGTTTTGACCGTTAAAATAATATAAAATACATGTTTCATGTTTCATAAAGAGCTTCTGTATTCAAAATATCCTCAGGAAACTCAAATCTTCCTCCACGCCGCAACCCCGTGATCCGGACTGGACGGGAAACTTTATCCCATTTGGGATGGCCCGTAAGCCGAGCTCGCCCGTAGCCGGGTGGGGTGAGTGCTTGGGGGCTGCTCGGCCTATCCTTTGGTCAGGCTCAGCCCCGGCAACTCACCAGGGCCGGGCCCAGTTCATATAGAAAGGCCAGTCGGCAAGTGTCACTTTGCCAAAGTGCCACTTATCAAAGGGACACTTTGGGAAACGTTGGTGCAGGTGTGTAAGAGTGGCTATATGAACCCATTGTGGGGTCGCCCTTTCCAATAAGTGGCACGTAACAGCAATGGGACCAGGGACTCTATATGAACTGGACCCAGGGTGCTCGCCAAGAAGACCAATGTCTCCATCCTATGATCTTTCCGGCTTTGAAATGGTCTTGTCAGACCGAAAGGGCATAACCCAACAAAACAAACCTGATTCGTTAGCTGGCTGCGTGGTGTAGTGGTTAGCGCACTGACCTCGCGTTCGAAAGACACGGGGTTCGAATCCCATCGCCGGCTGATGGTTTTGGCGTGTTGTCCCAGTAAACATGCCGACGTCGGCGACTGGGGGGCTCGAATCCCGCCGCCGGTTGATATTTTTGGCGCGTTGTCCCAATAAACATGCCGACGTCGGCCCCGTCGGTCCAACGACAAAGGATCTCGTCAACCTCGGCAAACGATCTCGGCCCGACGTCGGCTCGACGTCGGCTGGACTTCGGCTGGACGTCGGAACATGCGGGCATATCCGACGTCCAGCCGATGTCGGGACGAGGTTGAACCGACGTTGGGCCGACGTCGGGCCGAGCCTCGGCCCGACGTCGGGCCGACGTCGTCATGTTTACTGGGGTAGGTGCCCCTGACAGGTTTGTGGTGTCCCTGGAAGGACTTTGGTGCCCCTGACAAGCCTGAAGTGTCAAGGACAGACCCTTTAGACGCCAGGGTCAAGTTCGTCGGACTGACAACGATTTGCTTACCTGATAACGTTCCTGGTAAGTACTCACTACTCAGCGTCCACAACATATATACCCGTAACATATACACATAGCACATTCATATATACTTGCTTACAATTGGTTTAATGTGGTTGTGGCTAAGAGTTAAGATACTGACTAAAAATAAAAAATAAAAATAAAAAACTGAAAATGGGGGCACCACCAAAATGAAGTGGACGAAATCCGTTGAGTTTTTAATTTTGGGTATAGGTAGGGGCACCACTTCGATTCATGACCCTCCCCTTGGAGTTTTCCTGGATCCGCCCCTGATGCCCAGTGAGTCAGTGGCCTCTCTGACTGCTGACAGGCAGGTCCCAACCCACAGTCTGCCAGTCGATCCTCCCCCGGTGACCGTTTGAGGGACCGGATGGCCTGTCTCACCGGCCGCCGTTCTGATGCAAGCATGCCCCGCAGGTGGCCAGACGTGGTCATTGGTCAACCGCTTTGCCGTGCAAAGGCAAAAACTGCTATGTTGGGTCAGGGGCTGGGTGACCCAACACAGTAGTTTTAGCCCCTGCACGGCAGCGTTGCTAAGCTGACGTAGGGAAACAAATTAAGCATATAAATCATATAATATCGGCATATTAGGTGTCATGCTCTCTTTCGAAATTCGACAGGCCTGTCTTGGTTGTTTGTTTTGTCAGGGTTAGGCTCCTTCAGTCTGACGAGATCATTTCAAGGCCGGAAGGATGAAAGGAATTGAGGGGAGACATTGGTCTGAGCGAGCACCCTGGTGAGTCCCCGGGGCTGAGCCCGTCCAGAGAGGACAGGCGGACCAGCCCCCTGACACTCACTACACCCGGCTACGAGCGTGCTCTTACGGACATTCCCACATGGGATAAAGTTGCCCATCTAGCCCGGCACGGGAGGCTGAGGTATGTAGGAGATATACCCTGTGTAGGAGAACGATTCGAAGGTCCTGGGGATGGAAACGACACGGAACGGTGTTCATCAAGTCTCTTCTGTCGGAAGGTTCTATCGAGACGGTCACTTCATGTGTAGGTAGAAGGGAGGTCTCACCACAAGATGCTGCTTATTGGATAAGCAGATCTTTCAGTGTCCGACATCTATTCGGTCTTGGCCTAGATCCTCGTTTAGCTATTCTTTTTCTATGCCCATTCCCTACCGCTATTGTTTCTTTTCCAGTTGAGGCGCCCTTTTATTTTATTTCCATCATCATGTCAGCCTCTGTTGTTGGCTATATAGATGGCAATGACCGATATGCAGCGGTCTCCGTACCGTATCTACCTAACAGTTGCCATAATCATAACAGTTGCCTCGGTGGGTGACGCACCCTCTTTAAGAGCCCGGACTGGTGTATGCTCCTGGCATCAGTCGTGTGCTTCTAGTATATGGCACGATATCAGCTAGTGGATCTGCTTCGAAATCAGGTATCTGCTGTCACACGTGGTCATTGGTCAGTGCCCAAGGCCATAGAGTGGGTGGTTACCTTAGCTCACGCCTCACTGGTCGTGATACAGTGAATAGTAACCTGAAACTGAAACGAGTCAGCTTTTATCAACTGTATGTCATCATATGAACGGTTTCACAATTGTATTGAACAGAACAAGACAGAGGGCAGCGGCTCTGGTGATAGCCAATGACACCTCCGACCGACAGCGGCACCTTCGTCCAAACGCGGACAACTCTGAGATGAGATGAAGGAACAACGGACTGCCGACTACGACCCACGCGATCGGAACTGAGCGGACAAAAGCAGCGTGGCGCTATGACAGTGATGGCTTGTGACAATGGCTACACTAACACAGGAATCTCCCCGCAAGGATTTCACTGCAGCTGAACATGCGCCACGGAGCAGGGCGCCCGGCCGCTGAAGAACAGCTTGGTCAGCATCCAGTCCTCGACGGCCTGCGGCGAGAGGGCCAGCTGACCGGCGGGGGACACCTGGTGCCAGCAGGGGCAGCCGGCCGGCTCGGCGGCCGCCCACTCCAGCAGACCGCCGCCGCCGCCGGGGGGAGCAGGGGGACAGGCGGCGCCGGGCAGCGTCCACCGACTGGCCGCTGAGCCCTGACAC